TTAGAAGAAGCCTTCCCAAATCCTCAAACTGGTCTTTTATCCAGACATGGGTTTTCAAAGTAGTAGGAGCCATTGTTTAACTCTGTGGTTCTTATAGGTATGCTAGAGGTGTCTATAAAGCAATCAAATCTCACCCCACCCGAATCCCCTCCCTCCAGCTGCCATCTGATTCCTTACTGTAGATTCAGATGTACACAACAAAACATACTCCCTCAGCTGTAATGTCATCAGCCTATGAACAGAGGCAGCCCCCTTGCTTCTGGAAATCCTGGGAAAACATGTAGACCAGCCAGTTATTCAAGTAACCAGCAAGGAGAGGTAGGTACATTACTGCAGGCTGAGGCTTGCCGACACAGCACCTGTAACATAAGCCTTCGTCCTGTCTCTACAACTTAATAAAGGGGCTCTGCTGAGCAGTATAAAGAGCATGAGCTTTGAAATCAGACATATCTGGCATCAAGTCTTGGCTCTTCTATTACTATGTAATCATAAGCAGGTAACTTAACCCCTTTGCTGCTGTAAAAATGGGGGTGGCTATATTTATCTCACAGCATGGTTGTGATGATTAAAATATGTGAAATACTTATAAAGGATTAAGCACAGTCCCTGCTATATATTAAGTGCCTAATTGTTAATGATTATTATTGACAGTTATAACGTCTATCCTCCTGAGTATAATAAATAAATAATTTACATATAATAAATGTTTCTAAAAACACAAAAGATATCTCTGGAATCTTATCAGAAGCAAGCACCAGTCTTACCACTAATTTGGTAAATTTTACATTATGGGTCTAATGCCCATTAATGTCAGGGTAGGCTTCTAAAACAAATCAGGAGTTCAGAAGAGTGAAAGAAGTCCATAGACTCTGGAGTTCTTTCAATTCCCAGCTCTACCACTTCCTAGCTATGTGACCATGAGCAAATAACAACCTCTCTGAACCCGTTCCCTTATAAAGACAGTATAGAAATGTTATCACTATAGACAGCTCAAGATAATTGAATCAACTGAAGCAAGTAGAGGCCTCCTCATTCCAAACACACAGAAATTCAAGACTTCAAAACACAACAAAAAACCCCAAAACACTGCAGTGTTCAAAACCAGGACAGGAAAGTCTGCAGAAAGTCTGCAGATGGCAAAAGAAAGAAAGGAACCCATAGCATTGGCCCATTGGAAAAACTAAACCATAGAGACTCGTTTAAAGGCTGAAGTTGGAAGGCTAAAGGTAAGAGGGAGCCAAGACACATCTACAAAGAGAGAGCTACAACTCAATTTCCAGCATAAGATAGAAACCACAACTCTACCCACAAGCTCAAGAACATGGCTTAGGGATGTTTCTGCCCACATATGGGATAGAAAGAGTCAACTTCTAGAAATATAATTCCCTTGGCTGGGAAGCTCACTGGAGAAATGAGAAATAATCTAAAGGCTACTCTGGAGAGAACTACTCCTTAGGGCCCCAATTATGATGCCTATACGACCCACGGAACATAAACAGTCTCAAAAGAAGATGCTTCCTATTGAAGGTAAGCTCATGAACAAAAATTGCAAAGCATGAGAAGAAATCTAACAGCATGAGAAACAGAAGACACAATAAACAGAAGAAATTAGACCCATGGAACTCAAGACACTAGAGTAATCTAAAAGATAACTTAAAATAAAGACATTTATAATATTCAGAGGTAAATGAATATAATTTGTAAGATAAGAATAGATAGCTGCTATTAACCCTTGTGGAATATAAGCTGGCAGTACAACCTTTGAGAGGACAATATGGCAATACATATACATTAAATTATTCAAATGCTTCTGGAAATTTTCTGGGAATACTAAAGAGAAGGAACAGTTTATATGTAAGATGTTCCCTGCAGAGTTATTTATAACAGTGAAAAACTAGAAACAACCAAAATGCCCGGCAATGGGTAAATGATTAAATAACTGTTAACTGTAATAAATATAAAAGAGGACTATGCAGCAACAGGAAAAATGCACATGCTTTTAAGTGGAAAATAATCAGAAAACAAGGTATCTAGACAAATTGTTACTGTGTATGAACTATAAGGCATATGGCCAAGAACAGGAGTTCTTTGTTGGAGTGAGGTGAATTGCTTTCTTTTTTTTACAGTGAATTACTATTGCTATAATGTTGTTGGTATAATAATTTTTAATACAGTAAACGAGTACAGAGGCAGATGAAATATCTAACTTTTCTAAGGTAAGAAATAAATTTTTAAAAGTATCTATGAAATATAGTTGTCAAAAAGTGTATCAAAAAGTTCAGAAAAGTTTCTGACCTAGATGTCCTAAACGCAAATTATGAAGGCAAGTCTTCCCATTTTCATGTTAAAGGTTCTTCAGAAGTAGAAACTAAAATTACATTCTACGAAACTAATGCAAGTGACTACAGTGGTATGCATGTCTTTTCTTGTTAAGTTTATAAAGGTAAGTTATAATTTTAATTTTCAAGGATTGAACATTTCATAGAAGTTCAAAGAAGACACTAGCGGAAAGCCCATTTATTTTCACAAATTTTAACTTCTAGAAACTTCGATTCTGTATTAGTCATGAGCTATATGATTTTTATAAATGTGTGGACTATTGGAGCTATAAGGGATAAGGAAAATAGATACGTTAATAATTCTTTTACTGAGTAGGGCACTGAGGCCCATACAAGGAAAATGAATTCCCTAACACAACACAGATAGTTAGTATCTGAGATAGGCTTAGTCAAATAGTCTGCTTTAAATGTTTCAAAATCAATTATGAAGAAACGATATGATGTCTGAGATTTGCTTTAATTCAGCTTGTTATTTTCTTGGGGAGGGGTCTGAAATACGACGGGCAGTGAGTTAATCATTTTTGAAGCAGGGTGATAGGTCCATTGGGTCATGATATTTATTCTGTGAAGTTGTGTATATGTTTTAATTTTCCATCATGAAAAGTTTATGTAAGTCCTAAAACAATAAGGAGTAAAGATCTCAAAATAAGTGGCAAATCTGTCAAACTTATAACCCAAACATTGAATTATGAGACCTGCAGCAGACTGCTCAGCTGTGACCACTGAGGCTTCTAAATGGTTTTATCCATCATGACTATAATAAAAGATACATGTTTCTCATTAGACATGCTAAAACTATCCAAGCTCAGAAACTGAACAAACAACCCACTGAATTAATTAGCACATGAAATATGAAAATTACATTTGGAACAAAATTAATTCTTTAAAAAAAAAAAGGCAGATTTTCCTTAATACGAGCATGCACAACACATATTAACGGGTCAGCCTAGTTATATTACATGGTGATTATAATCATCTGCATAATTAAAGCTCTTAAAACAAGTAGAAGATATGGCGCTCAGACTCAACAAGAAGAACTAGAAGTCAGCAGCTCATTACTGCAAACCAAACCTTCCTAACAAATCACACTTTTAAAAAAAGAAAAAGAAAAACGAAACACAGATGAGCCTTGAAACAAAGAAGAAAAAGAAAGGAAAAAAACCCCTTTCCCTTCGAAAACAAAGTGTTGATTATAAATACACTGATCTGAGAGGTGAAAATTAGAGGGGACTGCGTATGAACCACAGCCCTGGAACTGTCTGTTCCAGCCACAATAAACCAGCGGCAGTTCCCCTGAACTCAGCCTCTAGGAATCTGTGAGCACTGCTCCCTCTGCTGGACCATCTCCACACACCCTACTCACTGCCAACCTTCCTGCCTCTTCCCTCCAGGAATTTTTCAGTAATCCCCAGTCTTAGTTAAATACCCTCTCACTCTGCTTCGAGAACACCCTAGATTACCTCTATTTTAGAGCTCGTTTCATACACTGAAGTGTAACCAGTGGTCTGTCCCCCACACTAGACAATGAGTTCCTTCAGGGCAAGGGCTGTTTCTTCCTTCCCTGCTGGAGTCTCAGCATCTACCAAAGTCCCTGGGATACAGTAGGCACTGAAGAAAAATGTATTAAGTGAATTACTCAGTCACAAAGCAGATGGTCTAAAGCAGGGGTTAGAGGTCTTTTTTCTGTCTGTAAAGGAAAGGACCAGACAGAAAACATGTCAGGCTTTGGGAGCCACATGGTCTCAGTCAACTCTGCCTCTGTAGCACAAAAGCAGCCATAGACAGTAGGTAAATCAATGGACATGGCTATGTTCCAATAAAACTTTATTGCCAAAACCAAGTGGTGGGCCAGATTTGGGCTGTGCATCATGGTTTGCCAATCCTGGTTTAACGGAAGAAACTTTAAATTTTGAAAAAGGAAGAAAAGACAAAGGTGATGATGAAAAGATCATAGAGGCTTAATGCTTTGAACCTATGGGAAGTTTAGGCTACATCGCATTTATACAACTCAATGATTATCATTTTGTACTCCCAAATTCCTCTCCTCTGTGAGGTGGTCTGTAATGCACACAGAAAGGGGAATGGAACCAAGAGGGGAGGGGAGGGGAGGGGAGGCGACTCTACGGCGGGAGCTGAGCACAGGTGTCAGGCGTGTCACAGACAAAAAAAGATCAGCAGGATGAGAAAAGCAGCAGAGATGGGTTTAAACTAGAAGGGATTTGCTAGGACTTTTAAGTCTGGACAGTCATCCTTAGATCGACTGGGTATTGGTGAGCCTGGGTTAGACACACAGAGTATCATGAACATAGACTGAAGAGATGTATATTCAATAGCTCAGAATTTCATGGCACTTTGAATTACGCATAAAACAATACATGCGCTTATTTCCACAAATCAAGGAAAAGGAGGAAAAAAACAACAAGTCACTGAGAGAATGGCCACTCAGGTTCAAACATAAGTCCCTACTCATTGCTGATGCTCTCTCACCTCTGATTCCACATACCAGCTCCCCTCCCCTAGCCCCCTCCCCCGCCACAACCCTCCAGTGTTTCGCTCCTTTGGTTGTGGCAACAGAAGCCTGAGTCTATGCAGGCCGTGGGAACCTGCTTTCTCTGGAATGTGTATGGTCTGAGAAGTTAGTGGATTTAATCAGGGCCTTACTTTTCATAGTCCCTTCCTCTTCCTCGTCCTCTGCATTGATCACCATGGTGCCGAGCTGTGACGGCAAGGTGTCATCGTGCTCAATCATAGTATTGGCTCCGTCACTCATGGTGCTGGCTACTCGGACAGTGCCCATCTCGTCACCTGCTGCTCGAACCATCGTGCCAGAATCCATTTCATCCTCCTCCTGTAAAAGGACAAAAATCTCAAACTGGGGCCAATTCGATCAAAAGTGGGTTTTCTAAGTTACTATTACTCATCTTGGTGTGAATATTTCTGGGTTTCGCACTTACTCAGTCCTAAACCCACCTTGTAGAAAGAACTGAGAGCACTCTTATTTAACCAAAGAACATAAATTTACCCAGGTGACAGCAGCCTATCTAACCCTGAAGGACCCTCTCCCTCTCCTTATTCGAGTTTTGCAACATAGATCTAAGGAGCTGAAGTGCGCACCCTTGGAATCTCAGGCTTGTGAGGATATCTGCACTGGAAAACCTACACATTTAGTATGGATCCTAGATTCCCCCAAAAGGCATGGAAAAAACTAAGTCTCAGACCTGAGCATTCTCTTTCCAGCATAAAAAGTTAAATTGAATAAAAGACACGGAGGCAAAAGAATCAAAACTTGAAAGTGTCTTAGGAAGCACTGTGAGAAGAGCAAGCACAGGTGCCCCACGCCTCTAGCAAGCTTGGGTCCAGGACAGGACACAGTCACGCAAGAAGGTTCTCCAGCTCCAGGCTGATCGCACGTCTCCTACTCGTCTCACCTGACTTGGCAATCATGAAATAACAAGCATTAGTGCCTGAGGCCCCGAGCCAGGCCTGCCACTCACTGAGTTTTCTTCATCGTCCTGGTCCACCTCCCGCTGCTGGGCTTCCTGGCGCTTCAGCTTCACATCCATGGCTTCGTTAATTAAGTCCCGCAGTATCGACACTCCTTTGGCACTCTTGACAAATGGGTGCTGAAACAAGAGAGCGGAAAACACTGGGGATGGTGTAGATGGCACCAGTGCCAAAACAGTGCGTGGCACACGGGGGGAACTGGATAATATTTGTTGAATCAGTGAGTCTGAACTTTCTCTTTATGCTTTGGACAACAGCGAAAAACCATGCTCACTTTATAACTGAGAAGATGCATTCTTTTTTTTTTTTTAATTTATTGGGGTGACTATGGTTATAGCAAAATTATATAGGCTTCTGGTGTACAATTCTGTAATCCATCATCTATATATCACATTGTGTGCTCACCACCCAAAGTCAGTTCTCCTTCCATCACCATATATTTGACCCCTTTACCCTCTTCTACCACCTCTCTCCCCTTACCCTCCGCTAACCACTAAACTGTTGTCTGTGTCTATGAGTTGTTGTTTGTTTGTCTTGTTCTTTTGTTGATTGCTAGTTTATATCCCACATATGAGTGAAGTCATATGGTTCTCGACTTTTTCTGTCTGACTTATTAGCAGATGCACATTCTTTGTCAGCGTGGCTGGAATGTCTCCTCCATTTGTCTGCCAAATCTACAGATTCTCAACAGGGTGGTAGCACCCCCTAGAGCAGCGGTTCTCAACCTTTCACAGGGGTCGCCTAAGACCATCAGAAAACACATATTTTTGATGGTCTTAGGAACCGAGACACCGCTCCTCTATCCGTCTCTAGGCCCACATGCAGATACGCCCACTTATGAGTACCCAGAGACCCCTGTGAAAGGGTCATTCGACCCCCAAAGGGGTCGCGACCCACAGGTTGAGAACTGCTGCCCTAGAGGAAGTTTTGTAATGTGGGGACCTTGCAGTTGTCACAATGGCTGAAGAACACAAACAGCATGGGGGCGGGAGGCAGGGACGCTACAACCCTGCACAGAGTGGGACACGTCTGCGCAAAAATGAACCCGGGCACTTTCTGCACATCTTTCAAAGGTCTCAGAGGTCATGTGCACTTTCATAAATAACACTGAAAATCTTGTCAAGAGAAGCCAAAAGTCTAGTAATTTGGGAGGTTATTTTGGAGCGGGGGCTTACATGGAATAAAGATACTGTTTAGAAATTACTGAATGATTTATTCTTCCTGCTTATTCTCTCTATTCATTGTACTATATAGTACTTCTAACTACATATTTACATACAAAGGATGTTAGTGCAAACGCGTAGTTCCTGCAGAAACACTAAAATGGGTCACAAACATGCAAAGGATGTAGGCCCAAGTACTACTCAATCAGCAAAGGCATCTCGAACACAGGGATACTGCTGAATTTCATTTCTAAAAATACCTTAAAGTTTTTAATAGTAATACCATCTTACATTTTTGTTGCTTGCGTTTGTGGCACAATTATAAGAAATCTATGCTGTGAAAGTTACATATAGAAATTCTTTTGGGAGGGAGTTGCCTGTTATTTTCCAAACTTACTCTGATCCCCAGTGTTTTCTTTGCAATCCGTCTCTATTCCCTAACACCCATCAAAAGATGGGGTCTCCCATCTTTTAGTACTAACTAGTAAGTTAGTACTAGAGGTTGAAAGTACTGCCTCACAAGTGGTGGGATCGCAAAGAGGAGGCGGTATCTTTCCCATAAAACTTCATCAGTGCTCCAGGAAGGAAAAGCATTCGCCACTGCACTTGGAAATAGGACCCAGCTTGTTTGCAAGAATATAGTTATTTCCTTGTTCTTGCCACTGGGAAAAATCTTTAAGATCACTTCCCTCCTCTCATCATATACAAGTAAGTCTGGTCGTTATTACTTAACATTCGTTTTGTGCAAGTGTCCACCCATTTATTTTCCTGTATTTCATGAATATGGAATGGTTTCTCTTCTCCTTACTGCATTATTGTCTTGTGCAACGATTTAACATTCTTTTCTACGCAGTTGGATTCAAACCTCCTGGGAAGGAGGGAATGTCTTCTACATTTTTACCATCTCTATGTAGGTGGGTTAACAGCATTTTTTTGTTGGTCAGTGTGTGAGTGAAATGGAGAGAGGCAGCATCTCAGAGTGATTCATACCTGTAGGAGTTGAGTGGCTGTGGCTCTCTGCTCAGGGCTCTTTACAAGACACTGCTTCACAAAATCCATGAAGCCATCTGACCACAGTTCTGGCTTCCGGAATGTGGGAGGAGGATTGGTAGGAATCATGAAGATTGCCTAGTTAAAAAAAAAAAAAAAAAAAAGATTTGGTAAAATAAAAGTGATGTTCCAATAGAAATATGATTAGAAATACATGTGAAGTTTGATAACATGATTTTTTCCTTATCTACTGATAAGCCCAGCCAAATTCCAACAAAAGTAAGAAGTATACCAAGTAGAGAACCTGATATAGCGCTCTCTCCCTCCCCCTCCCTCTCCTTCTCCCTCTTTCATTTATATTCTTGTCCCCTGAACTTCACAATATCCATCAAGGTTTTTTTGTTTGTTTTTTGTTTTTAATTTTTGCTAACCAAAGCATATTGCCTTTCAAAGTGAAATGGCAAGACCTAAGAGCATCAATAGCCTAAAGATAACCTCAGTCCCACAGTTGTCCAATTTCCCTCCTCTCTAAAGGTTATCACCACCACTACATGTGAGCAGCGACTGCAAGGAGATCACAAACCCACAAGTCTCCCAAATCACCACGGATTCATGAACTGCCAAGCCAAGCCAATTCAACATATTTGAAAAAACAAAAAAAAAAACACAAAAAAAAACACTGGCACACTATATTGCAGTTAAAAAAAACCCAAAAACCAAAAAATAATTACTTATTGAGTTGCCAATAAAAGAACAGCCATAGTTGTTTTTTTTTAAAAGAAAACTCTTTGCCATAAGCAGCTTAAATTATATTCTTTAAGTCTAAAAATATAACCAGTAAATCCTCCCACCCTTCTTTACTTCTGCCCTGCCCTCCAAAAGAGGGGAGATTATCTTTGGGCACATGAATACTTTTCAGAAAACTGTTAAGTCTTTTAATAGAAGAACTAATTGATCAGAGAAGAGAGGGAGCTGGGGTTGGGAGGTATGGATAAGACTATAAATTCCGTGAGGAAGAAGGGAGGGTAGAGGTCTTATGACAGTGCTGTGACGAGGGGTCCTGGGGGTGGGTAAAGCCTGGAAACCCCTTAGCATGTCAACACTGAGGGAGTTTTGGTAGAGAGTGAACTGATGGGCCCTTAACACTCTAGAAGTAGGAGGTTGGGGAGTACAGAGCCTCCAGAGGAAGGGAGTCTGGGGATCTACAAGCCAGAACTTACAAATTTAAATACCTACGAGGGCCAAGCAGGAAAAAGACAACAAATGACCCAGGCTGGGTGTTAGTGACATGAGTGTAATAAATTAGTTTTCTTTCCCCTTAATACTACTATAAGAAAAACATTAGCAAAAACACTGCCATAGTGACAGCTGGTACTTGGTGACCAGGGAATCGTGGAGACCAAAGTGGAAAGCCCCTGCCCTGCATAAAGGAGGAGAATGCTCAGCTCCGGTTAGTGTTGTTATGTCCGAATGGGAGCACCTAAACTAAAAAAATACACAGTGCACAAGTCAAAGCAAGCATTTCTGTGGCCCTTGTCCTGCCAGAGGGCTATCAACACACGGCCTCTGGAATGGAGAAGCGTAGAGCACACTTGATTATTAGAGATTGCAACTGGTGGAAGTGTATTATTTGGAGTCTAGACTGACACTTATCAATAACATAGAATTAATTCATTTAATGTTTGGTACCTAACCAAGTAAGTTGTTTAACTTTCTAACGATGACCAGTAACTAACCACTCCATTGGTTTTTTTTTTTACCATTTCCTTACCCTCATTGGATGGATATCGGCATATGGGGGCTTTCCTTCAGCCATTTCTATGGCAGTTATTCCCAATGACCAGATGTCTGCCACACAGTTGTACCCAATTTCCTGAATCACTTCTGGAGCCATCCAAAATGGTGTTCCTATTACTGTATTTCGCTTGGCCATGGTATCCTAAAATAGAAAGAGGGGAGATAAACACAAAGCATTAAAACTATTGAGGAAAAAAAACTTTTCTAACAATAAGAAATGACTCACACTTGAAACATATATAAAAACCATACTCAAGGTGTGATCAAACAAGTCACAAAACAAATTCAAATGACCTAGAGGCACAAAAGATTCTCAGGCAGCTATTAAAATACAAAAAATAACAATAAAACACTAAAATAAGATTGAAAAAAATTAAAAAGATTAATAATAACTACTGCTGACGACAGCATAGAAAATCATACAATGAGATACACTGTTACTGGAGTATAAATTGGTATAACTTTTTAGTAAGCAATTTGGCAATATTTATTAAACGCAAATGTCCATATCCTTTGATCCAAATCTATTTCTAGAAATGTATCTGATGCGTAGGCACACCAAAATACATGCACAAGTATTGTAGAAATACTTGTAATAAAAGGGGGAAAAAGAAGAAAAAGGAAACAACTCAAATGACCATCTATAAAGGGTAAGTTAATACAATAAATATCCATGCAGTAAAATACCACATTAGAAACAAAAGAGAGAGAGAGATAACATTTTTCTGGCATGGAAAATGGTGTAAGATATATCGTGAAGGAAAAAAAATTAGGTTGCAAAATTATTTGTAATATATCCTTGTTTTTGTAAAAGAAAAAAAATGAAACATCAATAATAATAAAAATTGTTATATGGATAGCAAAAAAAAAAAATCTCAAGTAATATACACCAAACTATTAACAGTTATATCTAGAAGTTGGACTCACTAAAGACTTCTTAGTTTTCTATCCCATAAACACTGATGGTTTATATGTGCATAGATTACATGTGCAATCAGGAAATTTTTAAAGAAAAATTATAGTGTTTACATGTATGTACATATATAGTTTTAAATAACATATACATATATTTTTATATAATATATACATATTATAAAGTCTTAGTTTGGTACTTAAAGAAGAATCTATGGATATAGTACCCATGGGATTGCGGACTTCCCCAGAGTGGTATAGCCCTAACGAAAGACAACCTTCCCCAAGTTCCTGTATTTTAGAAAAAGAAGGATTTTAAACAGAACTAAATATGCAATAGGACTTCCCATCACCATCACCCATGTTCCTTCTGAAATGCCAGTGGCTTAAGTTCGGTTATGCTGGTCAGGAACAAATGACAGGTAATATTTTTCAATCGATCTCACTTTGTCAGTCCTATGTAAAAAATTAACACAGGAACTAACTTACTGCTTAGTCATTTCCTTTGCTCTGAAACATGAAATTTGCAGGGGTATTTTCAAATGGTGGTAGTCAACATTGTTTTCAAGGATGATTTCAAGGATTCTAACTAGAAATGAATATTTGGGTAACCAGAAATTTTTTGAAAATTACGAATAATGAATAGATACTAACCCAGCTAGATCAATGGAGAAGATTAAGTACAGAGACAGACCAACATGTTCCAGGTAGATTTAAAAGAAAAAAGAAAAAAACTGTACAAAATACCAGCTCTAAAGAAACAAACAAAATACACATATTCTACCACCCAAGAAAACTGTTTGATCTCAAATTTTGTTGCAAATTTTAGTACATGCCTGTCCAGAACTGTTTTTATTTTACGATATATATTTCATATATACTGATGTACTTAACACAATCAGATAATTCTAGACTTCCTGTTTTAAAACATGGTTTTTTTCATTGCCATGCACTAGTGAGGCAGGAGGAGAATCGAGAGACTTTATCCTGGAAGCAAATGAGGGCAGTGTTTTCAGTAAAGTAACTGCCAGCGGCTACCTGGGGGTCGAATGAGAAGAGGCTATGTCTTATTCAAGGAAGGTAGTTTGGATTTAATGTTTCTTCCTTTTATAAATATGATGATGCAGCCCAATAGAACCTAAATTTCTACTCTATCATTTGTTTTAAATTTTATTTTTATCAAAATTAAACAAACTTAAACTATGGGACCCGAACCCCAGGAAAGGATCTAAAATAACTTACTAGCTCTTTGGTACATTCTATAATTTTTGTTGTTGTTGTTACTAATACAATTAAATCAAGTATTATAGCTTAAAAATAAACACATAAAAGGAATTCCTTCTAGGACAGAGCTGACAGTTATCAGCTCAAGTAACATTTTTACTTACTGTTAGTTGACCGGCTACCCCAAAATCTGCAAGTTTTGCATGTCCTTCTGTGTTTAGCAAAATATTTCCTGCCTTGATATCTCGGTGTATTTTTCTCATAAAATGAAGGTATTCCAGTCCCTTCAGCGTGGATTGTAATATTGTAGCTATTTCATCTTCTGTTAACTGAAAAAAGAAAGAGAAGTTAAAATCCTATCAATTTACATCAGCACATTCGAATAAAATTAGATCCAAACTCCTTTCCTAGAACATATTGGGTTGTCGGAAAATTCATGACGCATTTTTGCAATGAAAAACATAGAAAAAATGCGTCATGACTTTTCCGACAACCCAATAAATATAAGACCTTATTCAACCTGGAAACAGCATTTGACAGCTTATACCATCACTACACAGACCGCTCCCAAAGTTTTCTTTCCAACCTAGATCTCTCCCCAAACATCAGGTTCATTTATCTGCCTACCCACTTCCAATGAATACCTGCCAAGCATCATAAGCATAACATGTCAAACTCAAATTCTTTATTTCTACCACAACCTTACTCCTTCTCCTTACCACCCACCAAACCTGCTCTACTCTTCCCAATCTCTCTCTCAGTAAAAGGCAATTTCATTCTTCTAGTTGCTGTGGTCAAAAACCTTGAGGTCATCCTTGGTTTTTCTCTGTCTTCAAAATACATTCAAACACATCGTCTGTAACCACCCTAATCCAAGCCATAGTCATGTTCCGCCTGAACTATTCTAGTAATTTCCTAACTGGTCTCATTGCTTCTGCCTTTGACCCTCTACAATGTATTTTCCACCTGGAAGCCATAAGGAACCTTTTACAATGTAAACCAGATCTGTTCAAGCCCCCAGTGGCTTCCTAAATCACTCAAAATTAAAGCCAGTCCTCACTAAGGTCTTATGAGACCTAGTTCCCAGCTACCTTCACCTTCTACCACTTTTTATCTTGCTGTGTAGGCTTCCTTGATGTTCCTCAAACATTCTAAGCACACTCCCACATTGGGCCCTTTTCACCTGCTATTCTCTACAATGCCCTTCATCCAGATTTCTCTATGACTTGTTCCCTAACGTCACGGTCCCTGCCCAAATTTCACCTCCTCAGAAAATCAGAGGGGCCTTCCCTAGCTTCCTCCATTCCTAGATCATTCTCTACCTCTTTATCCTACCTTATTGGTCGATGCAGCATTATCACCATCTGATCTAGTATACATTATTTGTATACCTGTTTATGTAATGTCTTCCTATTGGAAACATATGCTGAATTAAAAAATGTCTTTCATCTGTTTACGGTTGTATCCCAAGCACCAAGCAAGCCACCTGACACACAGTAAGGTCCTGAAAAAAAGTCAAAATCTGCTGAATGACGATGAACAAATAAAAGAAAGCTGGAGATTGACAGAGACTGCCTGATCAGTCCCAGTCCTAAACAAACTCAATCGACCAACAAATTCTCACTCAGTTCCCCTTATGACAAACAACTGACATTTAGAAATGGTGCAAAAAATATGGGATTTGGGAAGAGAAAGACCTAGCTTTTCTCATAAAATGGGAGTATTAATTTATCTTGGCTCTATCGTCTAGCTGTGTGACTTAAGCGAGTTATCGAACTTCTCTCTCTTAGTCTCAGTTTCTCAATCTGTAAAATAGGAATTTTACTTTTTTTCAAGAGTGTCATGAAAATCAAATGATAAAAGGCATGTAAGAATACACATGGTTTAATAACTACTACACTATCAATCTATCAACAAAGACTTAATAAGCGTCTATCATGAGCCAGGCACTATGCTAATAACATTAAAAATAGCTAACATTGGGCCGGCCGAGTGGCGCATCGGTTAAGAACTGGCTTGGGACGCCAGAGGGCCCAGTTTCGGATCCCACATATGAGGGCGAGTGACACTGCCCTCTACAGCTAAGATGCTGAACAACAGCTCAACCTGGAGCTGGGCTGCCATGAGTCACCAGCGATGGCGTAGGCTGCAGTCCCTGCTGCAGTGGGTTGCCATGGGCTACCTTGTGTGGCCAGCAGCCACCGTGAGCGGCCGTCCAGAAGCCGGCCCGGGTGCCTCGCCCGGGAAGAGCGCAATGATGGTGCCAGCTTGGGCCAGTGAAGCAACGTCCTGCACAACTAGACTGAAGAACAAAAGGACAGCAACTTGTTTGTTCCCCTTCCCCCAATTCCCCAAAAAAAAAATCTAAAAAAAAAAAAAAAAAAGCTAACATTTACTAAGCATTTAATCAATACTAGGCACTATCTCTGTAATCTCATTTAATCCTTATAACAATCATATGAGGTAGGTACTATTATTATCATCACCATTTTATAGGTAATGAAGCTGTAGCACAAATGAAGTAATTTGTGCAAAGGTCACAGAGCTAATACATGATAGAGCTTTTACTAAAGTCTAAGCAAACACCTTTGGCAGGGTAGCGAGCTAGAGTTTGGGGTAACTTATGTGGCCAAAGACTGGCTTACTGAGTCCTTATTCTATTACTTTTTAAATTTTTATTATTATTATTATTTTTTTTTCTAGATGAGCCATCCTGCCACCTGTTGGCAACTCAGCAGCAGCTCAGTTCGGGCCGCGAATCGAACTAGTGACACTGTTGCTCAGAGCTTGTGCTCTTGAGCTGACTCCTTATTCTAAACAGCTGAGCTAATCACTATGGTAGCACTGCCCAAAAGAAACATATGTGAGTCACAAATATAACTTCTAATTTTCTAGTAGCCACATTTAAAAAAGAAAAAAAATTACTTTTCATAATCTATTTTTCTTAACCACATTTATCCAAAATATCATCATTCCAACATGGGTTCAACGTAAAACATTTAAGATGTTTTTTTACATTCTGCTTTTGTAATAATTCTTCAAAATCTGGTGTGTATTTTATACTTACAGCACATCTCAATTCAGACAAGCCACATTTCAAGTACTCAATAACTATACGTGACTAGTGACTACCACGCAATCACAGTAACAGCTAATAACCTTTCACAGAGAGGATTCCCTGATTAATAAGATGTAGAAGAAGTTAATCTGTGAACACTGTGGGTAGAAAAAGAAAACCAAATCTAAATTTAAACACTTCAAATTCATTGCTTAGCCAAGATTGGACGGTCATTTTTTTTCCCCAGTAAGAAATAAACAAAGTATGTAAGTATCACTGGCTTAGGTTGGTGTCAAACTGTCACATTTAAGAGACATCAAGAAGCAAAGAGGTAAAAGAACCATGGGAAGGTGGTAATTTGACAGTCATCTCTCTACGTATGGTAGTAGGAGAGTGCACGTGAAAACAGGCACAGCGAAGAAGATGGCATAAGAGACCAGCTCAGCGGCATTATTCTAGAAGGTACACTTACCGTTTTATTTCGTAACCGAATGATATCAGACACTGAACCAGCCCCACAGTATTCCATAACGATCCACAAGTCTGTGTTCTTAAAATAACTGCCATAATATTTGACTACATGAGGGCTAGAGAGCGAGAGAATACTAATTAGTGGGACAGCCTTCAGACACCTCTATTAATTCACACTGTTAACTACATCAAAATTAATTTCTCTACTCAAAAGATCAATTATTCATATTTATGGCTACAATGGACACCACCTGATAAAAATGTAAACTAGCACCGCTTTTCTGGAGGGAGGGCAGTAAATAACAAAAGTGGGGGAAAAAATGTGTGGGTGCTTTAACCCAGCATTTCTAAGTGTACAATTCATCCAAAGAATTACAGATATTTAAAAAGAAAGTTACGATCAGAGTGCTGTTTATAAAAGTGAAAGTTTAGATACCATCTAAATGTCCAACATTAGGGAGTTAAGAAATAATGATCTATCCATGTAATGAAAAAAACATGAACCCATGGAAAACATTACAGAATACTTGGTAGCAAGATACCCTGTTTACACACACACGTGCATGTAACATACTAGTCAACTCCAAAAAGAGATATGGAAGGATATGTACACCAAGTAGTATAATATTTAACAATGATTATTTCTCCAATGGAAACATTTTATTTTCTTCTTGTTATTTGCATTTTCCCAAGAAATCACATGTACTTTGAAATAAGAAAACAAAAACGAAAACACTACAGTCTATTACAAAGAAAAAACTAGGGTGTCTCGAGCCTGAAGAGAGATAACTAAACAGAGAAAAGTCAAACATCGCATTGAAATGACATAATCTGCCATCCTGAGAGCTACCAGCTTTCACTGGCTAGATTGTTATCTGGGCTAAATAATGTTGCATAACTTCAGATGCTAAAACCAACTGGGCTTCATTAACTCTCAGAATTTCAAGCCCCTTCATCCTTGGAAAACACGCCAATGACAAGGACAGCAGGAAAAAAAAAATACCCACATAAAATGAATATTAGTGAAGAAATATGGATGAATAAGTCTTTTTTTTTTTTTTTTTTTTTTTTTTAGCTGAGCTATCCTGCTACCTGTTGGTAGCTCAGCGGCTGCTCAGCTCGGGCTGGGACTCGAACTGCTGTCGCTCAGAGCTCAAACTCTTGAGCGAGCTCTTAACCAACTGAGCCACTCGGCTGGCCCTGAATAAGTCTTTTAAGGTAGGTATCACCACACTTCCTCTCCCATCCCTAAATTCCTGTAATATTAATGGCCTCTCCGAGGCTATTACTGTCAGGTACTTCCTATAGGAATATGTTTTGTACATCTTCTATTGTCAGCAAGATTTTCCTGGCCTGCCCAATTAGTTCAATAAACTCCCAGAGGACCAGAACTCGGCCCTGTATTTCTTTGTATTGTTTATAGTATTTAGCACAGAGTAGACTCTCCAAAATTCTTCTTCTTTAATTACAGACAGTTTAGTCCTGTTTGGAACACAGCTCCTGAGTAGTCTCTCAAAAGTGGCAAAGTCTCAATTTGCCAACTGAAAGAGCTTCCATAATGTATCTTATGAAAGAGGAAAAAGAAACAGTGCTACCTTATTACTCTGGTCAAGCCAATCAAGAAATACAGGAGTTTTACCTCACTGAGAGTAACCACCAACTTATAGAGAACCAAACAGAGGGAGGGAGAAAAATGTGACTGCATTCAGTGTGTGAGACCCCAGGGCTCCTGGGTACATGTCCTGGTAGGTAGCCCCACCTGCCCTAATGTTGAAGCTTTACCAATGGGAGGTACTAAATGGATCTGCTGACCAAAAGAGCTTCAGAAGAATGAATGCAGCTTCAAGTGGTGGATTTTCTCATTCTCCTTTCAACTCCCCATAGCTGGTGCTGTCTAAGTTTGTTTTTCTCAAATCTAAACGGTAATGGGGAAGCCTGCTCCATCACAGGGGCCACCCATGTTGTCACGGAACTTCAGAGCAAACCACGTGCTTTTCTGCGGTCGCCTCTTGGTCTGACTTCCTGCTACAGCACTTGACAAATCTTAGTTCCTCAAAAATAAAATACTTAACTACTCTTAGCTTGAATAATTTCTTTAAAATGTGAACGAACAGTAATATATAATAACTATTCTCTTTTTACAGATCTATCGGATAGTCTAAGGTGTCCAAAGCTAAAAGCATTTGAATTATCTCTTCTTAGCTGTCTCTGTAGAAACGTTTTCTCAATAGGAAGTAAGAGATCATTAAAAAAAAAAAAAAAAAAAAAGCCAGCACCATCTTCTGCCTCTTCTTCCTAGTTTTGATAAGGGCTTACTAAAAACAAAACAAAACAAAAAACTATACAGAAATAGAAACCGTAAAAGTTTAGCTACTAAAACACAAACTTTTTCATCATCCACTTTTTCTGAAAAGAATATGCTGAGTGATTCCACTAGTCTCCCTTGTGTGAAATATCTAAGTAAATGCAACTCGAGGCGTCCAACTCTTAATAATCACAGCAAATTCAAACCCATATTCTCCCCAAAGGCACACCACATGCCTTTACCTGTCGCATTGCTGCATTATGGAGATTTCTTTGATTATCTCCTGCAGGTCGGATTCCACAGGAACTTGCTTAATAGCCACAATCTGACCGGTCTCCTTATGAATAGCTTTGTATACGCTGCCATAGGACCTATAATTGGGAAGAAGAGAACATTTATAAAGTCAAAGCAAGCCAAGAGATAAAATGTGGTAAAACACAAGCAACTCCCAGTTCTGACTGATATCCCTAAGTGCCTCATACATATATACTTAGCTACACTTGCAAAACTGAGATAGCTAAAGCACTTCGGAAGAAAAACTGTCCTTCAGAGAACCACCATAAAATGGCATCTTAAAAACGTCACATTTAAATTTTACTGAATGTGTTAGTGTGAAATAAAAATCATTATTATAGTAGCTACCGTGCATGGCACGCCTGATGCCTGCCAGAAACTGTGCATCATTTCAGTTCATCCTTACAAAAGACAATGAAGGGGTCATTATTCCTTATTTCACAGGTAAATGTGAAAAGCCTCAGAGAGGTCACATGACTGGGGCAAGGGTCACATAATAAATGAGTGGTCAGTCCAGGATTTGAATCCAGGTGTGTACAAAGCCTGTGCTCTCTCTACATCTATACTGGGGCACAAAAGTGGAGGTGTTTGTTTTCTTGCATTTACTCTAGTACCAAAAGGTCTTCCAGTCCTTGCTCCTATACTCACACTAATACCTAACATATTATGGAAGCAAATTAAAAATCTAAGCCCCTGTAAATGCTAGTATCAAGTGAACAGAGCACATACGAATTCTTTTTGCCTTTTACTTCATCTTCCCTTAAGAGTTTATTATCAAAATAAATAAAAAGCATATGTATCCACTGAATTTCGGGGCTGAAAGAGTATTAGATTTAGAATCTAAAGACCTAGGATTTGAGCCCTGCCACGACTGCAGACTAGCAATCATTTACACACATTATGAACCCTGCTGTGCCTCAATTTTCTCATCTGTGAAACGACAACAATACAAACTACCTTACAAGACAACTGTGATGGGTCAAATGAGATATTATCATCTTACACAGATTATGTCTTCATTGAAATCCTGGACGGCTGTCAGTGCAATACTAATGAATAAACTGTCCTTCATGTTTTCCAAACTCACCTGTGTCTTCATACTGTCTTGGTGAGAAAAGATCAAAATAACAGTGCCACTTAATGTAGCAAAGAGCTGAGTGCTCTAGCTGCCAAAATGATGCTCAAGGATCATTTCAATGTGAAAATAACAAAACTTTTTTGAAAAGTCTATGCCGAGCACATGAAAAATGTGCACTGCATCAGAATTCTTTATATTGGCAAAACTAGTATGATGATCCTTAAATGTTTCAGAAAACATTTTTCTTGCCAGAGAAAGGCAACCGCTGAGCATGTGTGGAAGACCCAACCACTGTCCCTTCTTCCTGGCTAAGATAACCCTCTGATTTGTTAGTGTGGTGAACACTTGGTCCCAGAGTATAAAGCATGGGGGACCTATGCCAGCCACAGTAATCCTATCCAATTGCCGTCTGCCAGTGACTGAACTAGCTGTAAGCTGTTCTAGTCAATGAAATTTGAGGGGAACTCTGCTGAAGGATTTCTGGGAAAGACTTTCTTCTCAGATAAGAGAGAGAAGTATACAAGAAGGCCCATTTTTACCTGCCACTTCCTTTCCTGCTTTGGTTACTGTCATGTGAGTCATGATCCTTGAAACTAATGCAGTCATCTTGAGACTCTGAGAATTACACAAATGCTAAACCATCATTAAGCCAAGTAATCATTCTAGAATCTCTCACCCCACACTGATTATTACTTAGTTATTAAATGCCCTTATTGGTTAGCCACTGTTAGTTGGGTATTGTCTCTTTCGTCCAAAGTTATTCGTGATGCATTAATTCCCATATGTGTGAAAATGTCTTTATTTCATTTTCATCCGGAATGAGTTTTGCTGGATATAGAATTCTTCTGACAAGAGCTTTCCCTCAGCATTTTTACTGCAGTTTTCCAACTTCTATTGTTGCTCAGAAATAAGCTATCATCAGGTTATCATTTTTCATAGGTAATCTCCCTTTGTGTAGCTTTTAAGGTTTCCACTTTATCCTTAATGTTCTATACTTTTACTATAATTTAACTTGGAATCGATTTATTTGGTACTTCATAAACTTCTTCAATGTGAAGGCACATGTCTTTCTTCAAGTCTGGAAAATCCTCAGCATTATCTCTTTATCTCCTTCTAGAATTCCCATTGGAACTGAATTGAGCCTCCTCAATCCATGCTGTCTTCCTGGTTCCCAACACTGTATTTCAGTCCTGTATTTTGTGATCGGTCTAATTTCTATCTTTCAATTCCAAATTCTCTTTTCAGTTTGTTAAGTTTACTGTTTATCCAATTTATTGGGCTTTTAGGACTTCAATAATTTTAGTTTTCGTTGTCAAGATTCCTCAAGTTTTTATTTTTCAAGGGGCTATCTTCATCTTAATAATCTGGTGCTCTTCTTTTAAGGATGTTATTGCCTCCTTTTATCCTTTTGAAAACCATCAACAAACACAAATGTTAAATTCCTTTTCATATTGCTCCATTATTTCTACTTCCTGGGTGTGGGTTCTCCCATTTGTCAAGTCTGCTGATGATCTCACGGCAGTGGATTTCCTTTAATCTTGGATTATTTTTCTCTACATAAAGCTCCCTGTCATGAGCATTCCATGATGCCATGGTGGTTTCATGGTTCCCTCAGCCCAGTCATCTAGGCTGTACGCATACCATTTACACCAGATCTCATATTAGGAGTCTGGGGGTTTTGCCCCTCAAGATACTGTACCTGAATGCAGTCCAGGCCTGGTTCCTATTGTCAGACGAGCACCTCCCCTTTTTCCCCAGGCCACAGGCAAATGATACTTTCTAGTAGTGATCAGGCAAATTTATTCCAACTTTGGTTCATAGATGTGGAGCCTCGTCCCAGCCCACAAGTTCATGCAGGAAGCCCACCTGCAATCTTGACAGGGACAGACATGCTTTACCTTCATCTTACTGTAATAGGTAACTTTCCTATCCCTGGTCCATAACTGGCTATGCAACCTTATATTTAAACAATGAATTTTCATTCATTATTCTTACGTATTTGAAATGGAAAGAAGAGGTCTCCGCATGCATTCACTTAGCAATCTCTACCAGAACACTCTCCATGCCTCCTTCTGCTATCTTGATAGAAACGAAAACTGATAGCTCATATGAGCAGTTAAGATTCACGGTTCCACATCCTGCACTTACAGTGGTCTAGAGAGAATTCAGAAGGCTTCAGCAATCATGCTCACTTACAGGCAAGTCCCTTAAGACCGGATTCCCTACAATAAAAACTAAGTGACTCAATGAATTTTAACTGGCAGAGAGCAGTTAGTGGGAAGTAAGTAGGTATTTCCCACGAGCCATACAAGGCAAGAACCAATATAGAAAAACAGAAATAATACAGTATCTGAGGGCAAATGAACGAGGTGCTAGTCTTAACATTACCACTCACTAGCTCTGAAACCACGGGCAAGATGTTTTTGTTATTATCCTATGATAAAAACTTAAATGAATCAATGTGTAAAACTTGATGTACAATAGAAGGAAAAAGGCAGTAGGCTCTAATTCAAAACGCTTCCCAAGTGCTGTCCAATCATCCCGGTCTGGAGCTTTCGCTCTACTGTTTCATAGATCTATATAATCTCCTGAAAATGCAGAATGACTGCAGCCTCTAGAATCCAATACAGTCCATTAGCCAGAGCTCACAGTCCACTCATTTTCCAGAACCATTTAAGGATGGCATGGCAGTATGTTTTAGAAAGTAAGTGCAGTTAAGGTCTTCCTTCAGGATTTTGCTAAATGAGGCTTGTTCAGGTTCATTCAGCCACAATGATAGAAATCCAAGCATTTGTGGTGTCATTTAAAAGCACAATATGGTGAAAACATGGGAAGAAAGATCTGAAGCGTTTTCTCTCTGGTAATATCTTTATAGGGAAATTTCCATAGATGAAGATATCCGCAGATCTAAAACACAATAAAAAATAATCATAATTAGCTTAATTTTTACTTCTATTATATTCCTTCCTATATATAGTTCCTTCATATATATATATATGATTTAGTCTGTAGTTTTCTTTTCACATTCCCCAAATCCTATCACCCCAAACAGAGCTCCCTTCAAGAACATCTAAATAAACCTGAAGACTTAAGATTTAACTTTGATTTGACATGAGAAGGTCTGAAAAAAATGCTTCAGTTGATACAGTTAAAAACAAAATAATGAAAGTTGCCACTTACTGAGCACTTACTATGTGACAAGCACTGTACTAAGTACTTTACCGCCATTATCTCATGTAATACTCAACAGAACACTTTGAGGGAGATCCTAATACCCCGATTTTGCAGCTAAGGCTTGTGAAGCTTCAAAATATTAAGCAATTTGCTCAAGCTTAATCGTTTATTATGACTAATAAACAGTAGAGCAAGGATTTTAATGCAGGTCTGCCTGACTTCAGAGTATATGCCCTTACTACTGAACACACTTCTATTAAAAAATAAAAGAAACAGGTAAGTTTCATAGTCAGTTATGTCTACCACACTTTATCTTATCCAAAGCGTAACCTGTGAACATTGTTAGATTAAGGGCATTAGACTCATTTCCTAGAGGAAAACAGCAAGAATTGCATTCTAAAGCAGGCAAGACAATGGCAGGCAAGAGATGTAGAGGGACTGTCGTTTTCCCATACCTTTAATGATGCCACGTCAACTTGCAGTCTTCAGATTCAGCTTGCACTTGTTTTTAAGCAGCACAGATGGTGTCATCTTTTATTTCCCTTCTCTGCTGGATTTCTTGCTTGATTCCAAAGAGTATTTTTCCAACTTACAAAAAGATGATGACTAATGTTTTTCACAAGGAGGCAATCCATGAAAAAACCTATTCCATGTAATCCAGGACTGGGTTTAACGTTATTATTGATATGTATTAGGTATAATTAACACTAAACCCCAAAATAATCTAATGACATGTAAGACCTGATTTTAAAGAGCATCCAGTAACTGGACAATGGACATTTTTTGAAGTTATATTTCAGGTCTTCTCTTGAACCAGAAGTACTCCCAAGAGATTAAAAATACACACACACACACACACACACACACACACAATTTGCTGATATATGCAAACTAACTCTGAAGGATATATAAAAAACTGCTACACTGTTTGCTTCTGGGTGGCTGAGGGGTAAAAGTAGGGGGCAGATTTTTTTCATTGTATGTACTTTTATGCTTTTTAAAATTCTGAATATGAATTGATTACCTATTCAAAAATTAACAACAAAACTTGAGAAAGGGTGTCCCTAATATTTTAATGTCTCAATAATTACAGAAGAATAAACACACAGAGATTAAATTAAAAGGATATGTAAAAGTACAAAAAATTCTGACTTTATTATATTATGAAAGTCAGTGACCACCACTGGCTATTACTTAACATCATTTAATCAATACTTTATAAACTCGTTCACAAATCTGTGTTTCAAGAAGTCTACTTGTTACCAGCCTGGGATTTTGGATCTCTTAAGAATCTATGAAGGTAGTAATAGTCCTTGATTTATTTACTATATTTCAAAATGTTGTACTAACTAACTAAAATGCTGCACCCCATTTTTTTTATTGAAACCACACTTACTGCGTATCAATCAGAAGCTATGAACTGCAAATAAAAACATCTGACTAATAAGTTTTTAGTGTATGTGCTGCCGAAGCGAGCATGACTAATAAGTTTTTAAATGAAGTATAATTAGTGCTGTCTGTTAAACAGAAAAAAAATTATGCAAACCATGGTTTCTACAAGAGAAAAAAATAGATGTCCTCGGGATTAAAAAGACCAGGAATCACTAAATCTGTCTGTAATAGTGACTGGGGGGAAGAGAGAAAGACCATTTCAAGCTGTAAATTTACCTCCCACCCCATCCAGAGCAATGCCGACATGCAACCTTCCTCTGTCTTTTCCATAGGCTAGTAAATTATTGCCATGAGCAAGGTTCATAGCCTTCTAGTGCGTGTAGGGGGTGGGGGTGCGGGGGATGAAAAAGATCGGGGCCTACTGGTCTACCTATATGTTATGTACACTCACCCTTCTCCAAGTTTCTCTAAGACATCAAACACTTCTTCTGGTTGTTTAGTTAAACTATCTTCATCCAACTTTTTCAGCTGCCTGTGAATGAAGAAATATAAACATAAAATACATTTTACTTGCTAGCAACTAGAACACAAACTACATTGCTTATTTTAAAATTAGCATCTTAGGAATTTCTCTACAAAGTCTTCCCTAGTCAACAACAACACAGGTAAGCTAAGAGACTTTTAAGTGAAGCTGCAGGGTTGTCCCATGAAATATTACATGTGTCCTGGGTCGCCCTGAAGCGCAAAATTGGAACCAGACGGTGGAGAGCTACCAAGAGGCAAGTTTCATTCAGTTCAACAGGTGTTAAGAATTTTCTAACAATAAAAGTAGTTCTAAAATGGTTTACCTTGCCTTAAAAAGTCCCTAGATCCCCGTCACTGGAGAATTTAAACAGAAAGTGAATCATCATGTGACCGAAATGCTGTAGAGTGGATTCAAGCGTTAGATGTAACCTTAAAAATCCATTTAAATCTTGAGATTCCATGAATGAAAATGGTATAACTATCTCTTCAGAAAAGAGGTTTAATGTAAAGTTAACTATGAATGGAAAAATGGTCTTAGACTGGAGGCCAAGGAAGACACAGAAGACCCTTGCTCTCTATTAGCAAGGTTTGGTAATTTTGTCAAAACACAGAGATTCTATAGGTATCACAGAAACAGAAAGTGGGAAATATGTGCTTAGACATGATCAAAAGTGAAAAACAGCTAGGCAGCTGGGAGTTTCAAATAGTATCGCTGAGACTCTCCCACAAGCAGCCATGTACCTCTGACTAGTCCCCAAAATCAAAGATATATGGCTGCTTACAACATCTAGATAATTCAGATTTGTCTGACTATGCTAGACAACTGTAACAAACATGGGAGGTTATAAATTAACAATATATTTTTTTAAACTCTGAGACCTTTGAAAAGTATTAACGGGTTTAAAGGAGCTTGCTAAAAAATATTTGTATGTATCTTCTAGACAATGGCTTCCTGAAACTACAAAGGACAACAAAGAAAAGTGCTCAGGAAATGGTGAAATATGGAAGTAGTCACACTGGAGATTTCTTTGTAAAGAAAAAGGTTTAAACTAGCTGAACAATACCAATTAAAAAAACAACCTTGAATTTAAAACACACACACACACACACACACACACACACACACACACACACACACACACAAATGTGTACCTTTCTAGAGAAAATAGCAAAACCAGAAGACAAAAATAAAACAAAATCCTAAACATATCAAGTATATCTAATAAACACGGATCTCAAAAGGGCAATCTTACAGAGTTTTCTAAATATCAAAGACTATGTACTAGAGACATGGAGAATTGTTCCATGTCAATAACTGCCATCACTTGAAAATTAACATAACAAAACGACTACACACTGACCTCTCAAAATTAAAAGAGCCTAAAAATTAAATTCCAATGACATCATAAAAACTCCCAGCTTCAAAACAAAAAGGACTGAAGTGAAACTACTCTTAAACTTCAGAAGTGAAATTTCTATGAATCCAGAAGTTAGAAAAACATCCCATAAATCAGGTGGGTTTTTTGGGGGGGTTTTTTTTGTGTGTGAAGCACCGAATTTATAACTATATAAACAATGGACAATACCTCATTCCTCAGGTATAATTAAAGTTTTATATAACAGCTTATATAAAGGAAGATTAAATGTGTTCCTTCCAAGTGTTGACTTTGTGGTTTACAAAAAAACAAAACTCACTATTTCAATTACATGGAGACCACAGCGTAACAAAGGAAACTGCCACTGCCATGAGCAAGACAGCTGCAAGCCTCTGATAATATTTTGACAAGTCAAACTTTATGGATGCTCAGATACTTCTTTAAAAGAATCTAAGTGCTTTTTCATTTGTTTTTGGTCCGGCCTTAAGGGATTTTTATATCTCTGGTGCCTGATAATCCAGGGGTGGCCAATAAGTATTTGCTAAATGGATTAACAAATACGATAATGGAAATCATAAACTTTTATCAGCAATCTTTGTGAATTTTCAAAATAAAACAGAATTACACCCTGAAAAGTATTCCTGGATTATCAACAAATAAGGTTTCTAAAAAAAATCTTTTAACAAGTGACTTAATGATATTTTATACCATGAGTCTTCATGGAAGAAGCGCTACAGCCATTGACGTCTGGAATCTGATGATTCAGCTCTCTGAGCTGGGACTTCCCCAGGTCCTAGGTAGCTTTCATGGCTTGCTCATAAATGAACAAGCCTCCATGGACCAAATACCGGCAATGCTCCTCTCCTAAGTCAGATGACCACGTGGATGGCCGGCATCTCAGAAATGCACTCTACACCTTCCGCCCCACTATTATCTAATGGCAACTCACTTTTAAAAATTACAACCTCCTACATAAGCCATAAACTTGAATCTATCATCACTCACTTAGTCACACACAAATGTCAAACTCGTGAACACAAAGAGCATTTCCTCTATTGGGATTGCCATCCCTTGCTGGAAACACACGCCATCTGAATCTCTGAAAAGACACCTGTACCTTTCCAAACACAAATAAGGGTATGTATGAAGTAGTTACTCACAGGTTTGGCTACATCACAAACTTCTTTCTCCCATCTTAGAATTCTTATAAGGTTCATTTTATGTATGTATATCTATCCCTCTTTGCACACAGAATTTGACATGGGTTATGACAAATACATAAGATAAATTGATGAAGTTTTTTTTAATGATAATAAAAATGAATGTGTTGTTCCCCAATCCCCTCAAATTCACATGTTGAAATCCTAATCCCCAGTACCTCAGAATGTGACTGTATTTGGAGATGGGGCCTTTAAAGAAGTAATTAAGGTAAAATGGGCCCTAATACAATATGACTGGTGTCCTTATAAGAGAAGATGTGGGCACAGACAGGTACAAAGAGAAGACCCTGTGAAGACGGCCATCTACAAACCAGGGAGACAGGCCTCAAAAGAAACAACCCTGCTGATACCTTGATCTCAGACTTCCAGCCTCCAGAACTGGGAGAAAATAAATTTCTATTGTTTAAGTCACCCAGTCTGTGAAAGTGACATGGCAGTCCTAACAAACTAATACAAATGATAATAAAGTTAATCTGCTGCAAAGTAGGCAGTCCACGCGTTATGAGGCCAGAAAAGCACCAGTCATTCAATAATTCGGCCCTGCCACGGCTCTTCTCTTGTACATTTAACACACTTTTTAAAGGCAAAGGCGTGAGTGTCAAAAGCAAAAAAGTCTACTCTTTTGCCCAAGATCATACAACACAGGGCAAAGGTAGAAACAAAACTCAGATGCCTAATTCTCTTTTCAATGAAACCAAAACCTCGGAGAAAGAATAAACGTTATTTCAGCAAGAAATATAACCAGTGTACATTTATAATTGGCTCACTACGGTGCTATAGCAAATCTCTGCTAACATGCACAGGCCCTGTGAAATAGGGGTACTTTTCAGAGAGGCATCAGAGCGATGCAGTTAAGAGCATGGACTCTGAACCACACTGCCGGGATTAAAATCCCAGCTTTGCCACTTACTAACTGTGGGACCTCCAGCAAATCACTAAACTTTGTGTGCTTCAGTTTTATTACCGGTAAAATAGATACAGAGATAACCGCCTCATAGGATTGTTGTGAGGATCAAATGCGTAAGTTGAATCATATGAAATTACCATTTTTATCGGTCAAAAATGGTCAATATCAACAATTCCATATGTTTCAACAGGGGACATGGAAAGCCCTGAGAACAGTGTCTGGCATTCAGTCGGTGCAGTGTGAGTGGAATAATCATTATTATTTCGGTCTCAGCACGCTACAGTAGGGTGAATTGTGAGTCCATCCCTAACAGCTACTTGCCTTCTGCAGCGTTTGTGCATTTCAAAGAAACCCCTAAGTGTGCAGCGCAGGCTGCCAATCCTTTCCCTTCACCTCTCTATTGCCCTGCACTCCCACACACCGAACACTTCCTACTTTATTGCTCCAGCTGCTGCAGGAAGTCAGAGGTCTCTGTGAAACAGAAGCTAACTACGCTGCACCTCCGAGAAGCATGACTCCCCCCCACCCCCACCCCCAATATCAACTATTTTTCTCCAGATGTGGACACAGACCTTAGTGTCCACGGAGCAAATCAATGATACAACTGCCACCAACTCAGGAGTTCAGACTTTCTAGGCTCAGCCACCTCCCTGAGCTTGACTTAAAACAATTCCAGGTAGCGGTAGGCTCTGGAGTTGACATTCACAACAATAGAGGCCTGAAAAGGGTCCAGTCTGGCGGGATCTAATGACCCATACTTAAAGCAAAGAAGGAAGCACACACAGGACTGGGTCTCAACTCTCTGGGCCTCAATTTGCCCATTTAAAAATACTCTTATTTCCTTATCTACCTTTCAACGTCGGGTTTTGAAGGGCTCAGGAGGTCCAAAAAATTAGGAAGGCACTGGACATCAGGAATGAGAGATGCTGCCATCATCCTCGAGTGCGAACACTATCAAGAACATCTTCCTAAATGCTATCTATCCTCTACAAACTCTTCCCTGGCTAGACCTTTACCTTTTCTTGGCACACCTTCTCTGCCTTAGGAGCAAAGCTTTTCTTTCCCCTCCGCAGATCCTGCCCCCACTGTACCCTTCAGGTGGGACTCCCTCCCTTAGAAAGTCCACCCAGCCTTCCTCTCTGCTTGACCAGATCCATCCCTCAGATAGACCCGTCACAGGTTCTCATCAGCACTACCCCTATCTCAGCGAGTCCCTAGGACAGCCTTCCCCCAGGGGCCCCAGCCCTCAGCAGGTGCTCTAACTTGTCCCAGCGTTCCTCAGCAGCTGCTCCCTTCAGGGATGCCCGCTTCCCGGAGGATGTGCCCCCACAGTAAGTGCTCTCCCTAAGCAGCCCCACGTTTATCCCCCTCCGCGCGTGCTCCCCTCCGTCGGACCACCAGCCGCCAGAGGTCCCCCATTCAGCAGGTGCCCCATCATCAGCCGGATCGCCTCGCCCCGCAGGTCCTTCCCCTCTAGGGGCTCGCACACAGGTGTCTCCCCTCCGCCAGTTCCCACCTTTCCCTCCCCAACCCCCTTCCTCTTAGCCAGTGGCCCCTCACCGGCGCGGCGGGTTCCTCAGCTGCACGGTCTCCATAGCGCTGCCAGCAGCCGCCCAAACCCGCTCACTGATCCATCCTCCCCCGGGACCTCCCTGAGCCCGCCCAGCAGACCCTCCCACACTTCCGCTTTCCGCCCATACCGGAAGCGGCGAGAGGCGTCGGGAGCTGGGCAGGGCCACGAGGACCGGGTTTAGATCACGTGGTGAGGGCCCGAGTCACGTGGTGCGCCAGGGCGCGGACCCGGAACTGTGGAGGCAAAAAGGTTCCCACTCTGTGTCCCCAGACAGGCTCGGGACTCCACGGTGTTGTCTGGTTGCGACGCTCTTTGCCTAAGACACTCGGTCCCGGCCCCTCATTTCTCAGACGAAGATGCTGAGGCTTCTTGAGAAGCGCTTGGCTCACCGCCTGTGAGAAAAACTAAACTGTCAATCAGAGTGATAAGCGCTAAATTAGGGATAAACCGGGGGAACAATTGGAGCAGAGGAGGGACATAGTGCAAGAGGGGAGGCGTCGTCAAGAAAGGTTTTCAGATGAGATGATGTTTGAGTTGATTGAGTCAGGATAAGGCAAGAGAAAAAGTGTTTGGAAAACAATTCCAGGAGAGAAGAGCATAAGCAAAAGTTAGGAAGCAAGAGAAACCGATGAATGTGTGCAGGCGGCAACAAGCAGTTTAAAACTTGGGAGTATTAAGTGAGACACAGATGAGGCTGAAGAGAAGCTGTTTTCCCTCAGCGAAAGAGCTTCATTAATCTATCAGTGCATTCATTTAGGAAATCAATATCTATAGAGGACTAAGTGCCAGTGTCCAGCCTCGGTGCCTTTGCATTTGCTATCCCTCTGTCTGCAACAGCGTTGCCTAAATCTTCTTAGGTCTCAACTCTTGTTAGTCCCTCAGAGAGGCCTCCCCCATCCCCTTTATCTAAAATAGTCCCCACGTGGTCCCTTTCTAGTGCATTAGTGTTTTGTTTGCCTTACAGCACTAATAACATTCTGAGATTATCCTCTTCACTTGCTCATGAGTTAATTGCCTCTCAGGTCCCACTAGACTATGAGCGCCGAGAAAGCAGGGACTTCGCCTCTTTCAGCGTCATCCACAGCGTTCCAGCATCCAAGGCTCCCAGCGCGGCTGCAGAGAGGCAGTGCCCTTCCGAAACGTGAACGCCAAACTGCGCATGCGCCATGCGCTGAGGACCCGGCGCGGCGGACCACCGATTCGCGCAGGCCTCAACCCCGCCCACCCGCATCCATCCTCCGGGTCAGGTTGGCCATCGGACCCAGTCCTCGCAGCCGGTGCTTTCACCTGGACGCTGTTCCGTGAGACTCGGCGGCGGGAACGGAAGCGACCCCCCCACACACACACACACAGACATTTACCGGCCGGTCCCGGGATGGCCCCCAAACTTTCAGACTCTGTGGAGGGTCTCCGCGCCGCCGGCAACCAAAGCTTCCGCAACGGCCAGTTCGCCGAGGCCGCCACGCTCTACAGCCGCGCGCTGCGAGTGATGCAGGCGCAAGGTACGATCCTGGTCCCCCTTTCTCCGCCAGGGCTGCTTCTCTCTCGTCTCCCCCCATTCGAACTACTCAGACCTTGCTCTGTCCCTTTTTCCCTGGGGCTTCTTTTCCCCATGGCTGACTGACTTGTCCCACGAGGCGCTCCCCACCCCCCCTTCCCGCCTATTTGGCATCTTACGGAAAACGTCCTTGGCTTTTTCTTTCTGCCTTTTTAAAAACATTGTAAAATGATTTTATTACTCGTTCTTTTTCACTTAATGGCATACCAGAAATATATTTCCATATTAATTGATGTTTTATCATTTTTTTATTATGGTAAAAAAACATTAAATTTACTGTCTTAAGCATTTTGAAGTGTTGAGTACTGTCAAGTATATTCGCATTGTAGTACAACAGATCTCTAGAACTTTTTCATCTTGAAACACTGAAACTCAATACCCACTAAACACGAATCGCCTCCCCTCCAGCTCTTGGTATCCACCTTCCTACTTTCTGTTATCTATAATTTTGACTACTTTAGATACTTCAAATGAGTGAGATTATACAGTATTTGGCTTTTATGATTGGCTTATTTCACTTAGCCGCTCTTGAGGACATTGTAATTCATGTTGTAGCGTGTGACAGGATTTCCTTTTTAAGGCTGCATAATGTTCCATTGTATGGATGTGCCCCTTTTTAAAATCCATTTATCATTGATGGACATTTGGATTGCTTCCACCTCTTAGCTATTGTGAATAATGCTGTGATGAACCTGGGTGTGTACAAAACTCCAAGATCCTGGATTGAATTCTTTTGGCTATATACCCAGAAGTGGGGTTGCTGGATCAGATGGCAGTTCTGTTTTTAATTTGGGGTGGGGGGAACCTCCGTACCGTTTTCCATAGTTGCTGCACCATTTTACATACCCACCAACAGTACACAACGGTTCCAGCTTCTCAGCATTCTCACCAGCACTCATCATCCGTTCTTTTGATAATGGCTGTCCTGATAGGTGTGAGCTGTCTGCTTTTTAAATGTCCTGTTATTCAGGCCTCATTCAGACATTTGTTGAGCACCTGTTTGCACTGATTATATAACAAGATAGAGACGGTCCATTCTCTCAAGGCTCATACATTTTTGGTTTTGTTTTTGAAGGAGGTGGGGGCAGGCATGGATCTTAAGCTAGTAAACAAGACCCGTCCGATAACGATTAGGGTTATACAGAAGAGAAATATATGGTGATGTGACAGAGAGTTGACTAGGGAGCTCCTTTAGGAAGGGAGGTCAAGGACAACTTCTTTGAAGAGGTGACATTTGAGGTGATGCCTGAGTCCTGACAAGAAGCCAAGTGCACAAAGTTTTGGGCGCTGAGCATTCCAGGTGGCGGGACCTACAATTACAGGCATACCTCGTTGTATTGGATTTTTCTTTATTGTGCTTCACACTGGTTGTGTTTTTTACAAATGGAAGACAAGACCCTCCAGCAACAAGAATACTACTTGTTTTATTGCAGTAGACTAGAACCGGAACCTCAGTGTCTCCTGGATATGCCTGTACAAAGGCACCCAGAAGAAATAAGCATGTTTCCCAGGAGCCAAGAGAAGTGAGCCAGTGGAGGGAGTAGTAAGCCTTGAGCTCAGTTAGACAGGCAGGACCTTATTGTGTAGACATTTTACACAATAGGCTGTAGTAAGGAGTTTGGGTTTTATTCCCTGATGGGAAGCTACTGGAGAGTTTTAAATAGGAGTACCAGTTCTAGCCTCCAGCTCAAAGCTACTGGAGAGTTTTAAATAGGAGTACCAGTTCTAGCCTCTAGCTCAATTCTACCAACCACAGCCTTTTCCCTACCTCGTCTCCAAAGTGTCTTAGCCCTCACTGGAATCCCTTCTCTCTAGTACCTATTTTTCCCTTTGCCTTCCTTCTCTTTCTCATTTTCTTGGCTGGCATTTGTTGAGTGCTTTATCGTGTGTGCTAGACGTTTCTTTTTATCTTCACAATAAACTGTGACTAAGATACTTTACAGTTGAGGAGTCCAGAAGAGTTAAATTATCTACCCCAGGGTTACACAGTGAAGACATGTAATAGGCAAGATTTGAATATGAGTCTGTTTCCCAAGTCCAAATTTTTAAGCTTTTTGCTAGACTTTTCCCCAAATTCTCTCCAAATTACCAGGGTTTTGTTGTTGTTGTTGTTGTTTTGTTCGAACGTTTGCAGTTTTAAGCTACTCTTGCCTCCTTTTTTTCTAGAACACTACATGCTCATCTCAGCCTCACTTGAACTCACTGAGGAATCTCAGATATACCGACATTTCTGCCTTTTTCTTTCACCCTACCCCAGCTGGCCTGGAAAAGCTTGTGCTTTTGTATGGATTTATTATGGGTCTCTAGAAGAGCTGGCCTAGTGTCTAGATTTAGTAGGGGGCCAGAGTTTGGTTCTCATCCTTTTCTAGATAATATATGGGCAGTTCCCTTGATTTCTCCCATCAGTTTTCCTGATCTCGAAAGGAGAGCAGGGAGCAATCTAACATAATGAACCCTTCCAGCAAGTCTGTGAAGTGATATCGTCATGTGATAGGTGAGCACATGAGATCAGAGGGATTGAGTAACTTGTGCAGGATCACAGGCTGGATTGCAGGTTCTGTCTGATGCGCTTTCCGCCACATCACTGCTGCCTCTGAGCATGCGTGCCCTGGGGACTTGAGATGGAGTCCAAGTTTTGAGTACTTGTACTTGTTCCTTAAGGGCAAAGATATATTTTACTTATCTCTGTATATGTATATGTATATATCTCTGTGTGTATATATATATATATATATATATATATATATGTAAAATAAAGATAGATGAACATGCATGAGCATGTTACATACCAACTTCAGGATTGTGGTGACATCTGGGGGCCTGGATGAGTGGAGCTTCAGTTATATTAAAAATAAAAAAAGGTTGGAAACAAATATAATGCATGCTCAGCTTAGTGATGGATGTTGACTATCTGTTTTCTGTATGCTTCACACCTAGTAGAATTGCTGGGTCAACACTTGATGGTTTCCTTTTTTTTTTTTTTTTCTCATTCTGGCCCATGCTAGTGGGTATGCAGTGGTTGAAAATTATTTTTAAAAATGAAAATCATGGTGGCTACAATAAAGCTTTGAATTCCTGAGGGTAAGGACTGCCTTTAGAAAAATGTCTGATAATTCTCCTCCCCCTTGGGGAGCTTGAGTCCTTCCCCTGATTAAGTTCTCTGTAGTCCTGCCAGACCCAGAGGACTTGGCCATGGCAGAGTCCTTTCTGATTTGACCAGGTAGAATCAGCCTCGGTCTTTTATGGCCCCTCAGCACTTGTTCAGTCCATTTGGCATATTTTTCTTCTCTCTTTTTTTTTTTTTTCTTTATTGGCTTTACATGCTTTTTGTAATAAAATTAACACACACGCACACATGCACACAAGTAGTTATAGCATGGATTTCTTTGGGGCAGAAGCCAGCTATTTCATGTTTATCTTTTGCCTGGTACCAAGTTTCATGGTGGAGTGAGTGAATGAGAAGATGCCCGGTATTCTCGCTGCCATGTGCTAATGACAAACTTGCCAGCCCATTGGACCAGCAAGTCTGATCCAATTACAGTCATCTCGGCTACGTTTTACCCAAGCTGAGAGCTCAGAGGGTGCATATACCCCAGTGACCTGAGGCACCCGTTTCCCAACCTGTTAGTCTCAGGCTTTCTGCTTTCTGCCTGGACAGGTTCTTCAGACCCTGAAGAAGAAAGCGTTCTGTATTCCAACCGAGCAGCCTGCCACTTGAAGGATGGAAACTGCACAGACTGCATCAAAGACTGCACTTCGTAAGTGGTCAGCGGTAACTTTGGGTGCCCTAGGGGCTCGGAAGAGGAGGCTGGGTTTATCTGGCCTGTTTTTTCTTTGGCCTGATCCCACCAATTACATATGTGACAGATACTAGGAAGTGTCACTGTCACCGAGTCACTGAGAACAAGAGGCTCTACTTGGTCTTTGTGGCCCGTGTCTTATGTCTTTGGAGTCGTGGCTCTGCTGATGTCAAAGAAGGAGGATGGACAGTTAGAGACAGGCCTTGAGGTCCTTGTGAGATTTGGGACCTCGGGATAAGGTAGAGTTGCAGACTAGTGACTGGTTTGCCCAGGTTTCTTCTGGGGTGGATGTGTGTGAGAGGAAAGGAGAGAGAGAAAGAAAGAGGGATAGAGGCTAACAGATGGCCAGAAAAGAAGCTAGGAGAAAGGAGAACATGATATCCATTCATGACCAGGTGTAACGGACGTTGAACAGTTTGTCATGCTGCTTCTTCCAGCCAGTCTGATGTTGCCTTCTTTCATCATTGCTAACCTAGCACACACACCTTAATCTACATACAGCTCTGATATCCTGTGACATTGCCTGAGAGTCACGCCCTGGGCATAGATGGAGGAGAAGACAGGTGCGCATGCTCATGGAGCCTGTGCTACGTTGATTTCTACCAGGCCCCGTGCTAGGTTTCCTTCCTGGAGTGCTCATAAACATGCTCTGGGAAAAGTTTACCATTCTTCCTGCTAGAACTGGGTCGCACGAGGTTGAGGTGGTAAAGTGATTTGCCTGGGGTCACATGGTTAGTGGCAGAGGTGGAATTCAAACACCATTCCATCTGACGCCAGAGCCTGTATGTTATTCCTACCGGGCCACGACTGTAAAAACACAAAGAAGCATAAAAGCTACAAGGCACTTATTCTTGATTTTGGAAGGATTGCAACTATGAAAATGGAAGCACGTGCACACAGATTTCACAGTATCAGCGGTTTTCAGCCCTCTTTCCCTTTCTCCACTTCAATCTAAGTTGAAAAGTCCCTCTTCTAAGGCTTGACATTTTTAGCAGTGTCTCTGCCAAAAATGACCTCCTACGTCCTGAATGCTATAGCTGACCCAACCTGGAAGGAGCTGTGGGGAGAGTGACTTAGCAGCCAGATGACATGTCTGCCTCCCGTTCTAGAGCTCTGGCCTTGGTTCCTTTCGGCATAAAGCCCTTGCTGCGACGAGCATCTGCCTACGAGGCCCTGGAGAAGTATCCCCAGGCCTATGTCGACTACAAGACCGTGCTGCAGGTCGATGGCAGTGTGACTTCAGCCTTGGAAGGCATCAACAGGTGAGCTGAGGCACTGTGGGCAGTCCCTCTGGAACTCTGCCCTCCTTCATTGACTTGGGACCATTGCTTTGTCATCTTCTGGTGGGATCCCTTTGAGCTAGGCTTAGGAACTCCTAATGAGCATGTGGCGAAAGTATGGAAGGAGATTTTGCTGTCATATTTAGCAGGTGTTTCAGGGCTCAGGATTCCTGAGTTAGTTGCTTTTTGGCTAGGTGCTTAAATTCATTCACACGAAGTAATTTATTGAGCTCTGTATAAGGTATTGTGCCAGGTTCAGTGGGACTACAGAAATAAAAAAGATATAGACTCCACTTGCTTCAAAGAGCTAACTACAATAGATTGGGGAAAGTAAGACCCAGGCACAAGCAGCTGGCACACGAGGCTATAGGGATATTGTTTCTGGATATGTTTCAATATATTGTACTGCGACCCCTTCACAAGGCCCCTCGGATAAAATTTCTCTCTGGTCTCCCGAGCAGTTTGTTTTTATCTCATGGATGCCCTCATTTGTGTAACTGATCATGTTTCCCCTCTTTGCATGGGCTGCTAGAAAGCCAAGCAGCACACTAACAGCAAGCCCTGAGCAGGACTTCATGGTGTGTATTTAGTACATCCTTTCTGGCGTCACGTGTTTTTTCTCGGCCTCCTTTTAGTTTCTGTCTGCCACTTACGTGCCAGACTTTGCACTAGGTGCCTGAGACCTGTGTCTTCCTGCCCTGGTAGAGCTCCTGGTCTCGTGGAGAACACCGGTCAATCGTAGGCAAGCATACTACAGAGGATGAGTGCTGTGGTCGGCGGCAGCACAGGGGCTGTGAGGGCAGAAAGGAGGCACCGAACCAGCCAGGGGGAGGCCAGAGAGGGCTTCCAGAGGAGGTGAGCTGAGAGAGAGAGTAGAGATCTGGGAACAAAGGCCAGCAAGGAGAAAGGGCAGCCTGTGCAGGTGTGAGTGAGTGAGTGTGATGTATTACAGAAACTGTTAGAAGTCCATTTCATACGGTGCTGTAGGCGAGGAGCTCAGCTCAGGATGGGTGGCGAGGCCAGGTCACGCAGGGCCTGTTCTTCAGGGGCCTGGTCTTATCCGAGCACAGTGAGGCATCGTGAAAGGGTCTTAAGCAGGGGAGCAATGTGAGCTGATTTGAGAGATAAGCTCACTCTCTGGCCGCCATGTTGAAGGATGCCTTGAAAGAGAGCAGAATAGGAAGGGGGGCATGCCGTAACCCAAGAGATGGTGATGGCAGTGAAAAGAGTGGGACCACTTCAGGGGACGTTGAGGTTGTATTTCAACAAGTTTTGGCGGTTGGGGGGTGGCAGGAGGGAAGAATAAAAGACATCCACATGTTGAGTTGGAGGTGACTGTGGGACATGAGACTAGACATATAAGGAAGGCAGCGGGTATTTACATGGGTTTGGAGCAAAGGAGAAAAATCCAGGTCAGACTTACAGATTTGAAGGTCGTCAGCATAGAGGTGAATTAAGGTTGTGAGAGGAAAGACCACCACAGCAGTGTGCAGGAGGAAGAGGGTGGAGCTTTGAGAACTTTCAGCATTGGAGGGACCTATAGAGGAATAGCAGCTGGAGTGGCAGGAGGAAACTCGAAGCAGTCAGTGTCACAAGGGAAGGAGTGTTTCCAGAAGGATGAAGACGTCATTCGTGTCAGGTGTTCCAGTGAGCTTAAGTAGACCAAGCATTCAGGAACGAAGTCACTGAGGATCCTGATGGAAGCAGTTCAGTGGGGTCAGAAGCCACATGGCACTGGGTTCAGGAAGGCTGGCTGTGAGGACGCAGAGGAGTGTAGCTGTGATGGCAGAGGGATGTCCAGGAGGTTAAATGCTGGTAGCTGGAGTCAGCAGAGAGAAACGATGAAGATACAGGAGAGGGAATTGCTGGCTGAGTGTGGTCCCTGAGAGAGGCAGGAAGAGATGGGTCCAAGCTTAGGTGGAGGGATTGGCCTTGTCAGCTCGTGTGACAAGACAGAAATAGGAAGTGTTGGGGCCCATGCAGGTAGGTTTGTATCTGGGGTTAGAGGAAGTTGGCTCTGCAAAAGGAGGAGGCTTAGGAGCAGAGTTGAGGAGGGTCGAGGTTTGAAATCACTGGGCAGATTAGAAATACAGTCTTGGGGGGCTTACAGACTATGGATTTGTAGTGATATCATGGTGTTTTCATTCTAGTGTCATAGGAACATGGCTGTAAAAGCAGAAAAAGTATACAGTTGGCTTTATTCACTCATTCAACAATACTTAATTGTGGGTGCCAGGTAATGATGTGTGGGGTGCTGGAGAGCAGTTAACAAAACGGACATGGTCACTGAGCAGCATTTTAAGCAAGTTTGCTGGGCCTAGAAGGAGGGAATGGGGACTAGGAAGTAGATGAGATTATTTGGGGTAGAGAATAAAGGATGTGCAAAGGCTTGAACATAGGCTCAAGAGGGAATGTGGCACCTGATAAAGATGGAGAGGTGGGAGGGGACCAGATCTCAGGCCCTGCTAGCCTAAGGGAATGGAAGCCACTGAAGGATTTTAACATTTGAGAATGACGTGAGATTTACATTTTTAAAAACTCTGAGCATTAATCACAGGTGAGGTGCTTGCATGGCCTTGTATAACAGATCCATTAATATAAAACATGGTCCTTTCTTGGGGACTGTGTGGTCCTTTGGGGGTAAGGTAAGGTTTAAGTACCCTTCACAAGCAACAGAGCATCACTTTGAAGTTAACATAGTGTGACCAAGTGAGGGCCAGGCAGGGAGGGATTATGATGGTGGCTGATGTGAGATGTTTTATGGGTTCCTTTCCTGCTGTATGTCAGGAGGCTATAAAGAGATGGTCCAAACCAGGGGAAGATAAGTGGCTCTCATACACCTCCTTTCGGTTTATGAGAGGAGGACCGTCTCAACCCAGCTCTAAACTTCCCTGCTGTCCTGCCTTCCTTTCCAGAATGACCAGAGCTCTGATGGACTCACTTGGGCCCGAGTGGCGCCTGAAGCTGCCCTCCATCCCCTTGGTACCTGTTTCAGCTCAGAAGAGGTGGAATTCCTTGCCTCCGGAAAACCACAAAGAGACAGCGAAAAGCAAATCTAAAGAAACCACAGCTGCAAAGGGCAGAGGTAAGCCGTGACTTCCTGTGACTTCCTGCTCGGTGTTGCCGTCCCCATAGCCTCTTTCTCTAGAGTAATCCTGTAAGAAAACTGGCCTCATTTACGCTGAGTTATAAAAATAATGTTGAAAAGGTCTCACTCAGCCTCTTAGAGACTGTCTCCTCAATGCCGCAGTGAGGGCGGTGAGAAAACCTGCCCCACAGCTATAAGGACTGACACAGGCTTGCTGAACTCCCAGCCTGGCACATTGATAGGCACACGGTGTTACCTCCCTTCTCCTTTTTGGCAGCATTTGGGATGTATCATTTTGGACATTTTGGTTGCAAGAATAGAAAACTCACCGTGGGAAAAATAATAGAGAGATGTTATTGGCTCGTACAACTGCCAAGTCCAGAGTTCGGGGTCAGGCAAGGTTTGATTCAGCAGCTCGCTACATTAGCAGGCTCTGACTCCTCTGGTGTGTGTCAGCTTTGTCTTTGGGCAGCCTCCCCTCCTAGCAGTAAAACGCCTAGAGCAGCTCCTGGCCTCATCCATATACCACGCCTCATGACCTAGAGGAAGAGAAAAACTTTTTGTCTGAGAGGGTTTCTTCCCCCAAAATCCCCAGCTCACAGATTTTCTCAATTTATTCTGGCCTGTTTGGTCACAGGCCATCCCCTGAACTAGTCCCTATGACCAGGGGCTGAAATTTTGTGATTAGCTCAGCCCTAAGCCATTGGCCCCACCCCCATGGCCAGAGGGCGATGCTTCCCCAGGAACCCGCACACTGTGTGAGGAAGAGAAATAAGAGAAGGGAGATAAAGCCAAGTAGCCCTACACAGGAAACTGTCCACCTAAAACAGAGGCAGGGCCTCCTTGGACACCCTTATAATGCTCCAGGGGGATTGTCCCACCCAGCAGGCCAGGTGTAGGGGATAGGCGGTAAAGGAGGGATCTGGCCTGCAGCCTCGCGTGGGTGTGAGGCGAGGGCAGGAGTTACTTCCACTCCCAGGAAGAAACTTCTCTGGCCATAAGTTTGTGGGGAACCTGATAAGTGTTCCCCACTCTTCCCCGGAGTGAAAATGTGGGGTGCTAATGAACTAGGTGGCTTCAGTGCTCCCTGCATTCATGTCACTTTCAGACTTACTAGCCATATGTGTTCCCAGGCCCTGTGCTAAGCAGTGTGACACAGACAGGACAGGCGGTTGTGGCCCTCAGGACGTGCTCAGTCTAATGAGACTGACACATAACACAGCATTTCAAAATACAGGAGGAAGCACAAGTGCTTTAGTCTTCAGTGTTTGGGGAGTTCAGAATAGGCATTGATATAAGTGTGCTTGGGGGAGTCAGGGAGAGGCTCACCGAGGAGGTTGAGCTGGGCCTTCAAGGGTGAGTTCTTCAGATGGGAGAGGGAGAAGGGGTGGGCATTGTTGGCAGAGCGTGGAGAGCGTTGTTGAATGAATGCATGGAGTGTTGCTGGAGAACTGGAGTGTGCATGGCTGCATTTGTGCGGTGGTGCAGAGCTGGGGGAAAGCTGAAACTGTGTGCACCGCAGCCCACTGGCTGTACTTAGAGAAACTCACGCATGTGCGCACAAGGAGACATGCACAAGAATGCTCATAGCAGAATGTTTATAATGGCAAAAAACAAAACTGGTGGTAAGCTCCCACAAGTAGGAGAATGGAAAAATCAACTGTGGGGCAGCAGTGAGGAGGAAGAAACCACAGGTATATGCATCAACACAGATCAATCTCAGGAATCGAATTTTGAGGGGAGAAAACAGGTCATGGAAGAATACATAGAACTATTTATTCCTTTACATGAAGTTCAGAAACAAATAAACAAATGGTTTATAGATACTGTGTTATGGTATAAACTACCAAAAACAAAAGGAAGGGCACACAGAAGTGGGGACAGTGGCTTCCTCCAGGGGTGGATGGGTTTGGGGAGTGGCCCTAGTAAATGTTGTTTCTTAAGGTGAGGGATGAATTCCACGGTGTTAGTTTTACTCCTAAAACCTTACCCTTGTCATAAATATTTAGTACTTTATAAAGATGGTTTTTAAAAATTAAAAAAGGTGATATGGGAGCTGGGGCTGGAACAGCTAATTGGGGCAGAAGGCCAGGTTGGTCAGCTTTGATTTCATCTCCTGTCTCCTGGAAAGCTGGGCAGGGCGGCATGTGTTTGGTGAGGGGGCTGCCCACAGGCTCAGACCAAAACAGCCGGGAGGAACAGAAGACAGTTCTGCCCTTTTTGGAAAGCCTGGGAGCTTCACCCGTTCTTTACCAGATGCGTGTTTATTTAAATACTTATTCTCCTGCTTTAAGTTCATAGGGGGTTCTGCATTTTCTCATGTATTCTCAGATTTCATCCTGACAGTAGCCTTGTGTAGAGTAGGCGTTGCCCCCATCATATTGGTGAGCAAATTGAGGCCTAACAGAGGAGGTAGGTCACACGGACCTTGCAGCTACTAAGTGGTAGTGCCAAGGCTGGAACCCAGGTTGCTTTTTATCATGAGTATGTTATTATGTACATGTATAAGTGTTTATATCAGGAGTCCCCTATCTCTTCTGAGTGAAAAATTTTAATTTCCCAGAAGCCGTTAATTGGGGGTCTCATTGCCCAGGAAGGATGCTTTACAACAGCATAGGAACCTCTGGGGAAAGAGGGTCGTAGACAACTTAGAAGAGACCTCGTTGATCTCAGTTGGCACCTGCTCCATGGTTTTTCCCTCTTCTGAATTTGCATCTAGCACCTTCTGCTGGGGATGTGGAGAGAGCCAGAGTTCTGAAGGAAGAAGGCAATGAGCTTGTAAAGAAGGGAAACCATAAGAAAGCTATTGAGAAGTACAGTGAAAGCCTGTCGTTTAGTAACCTGGAATCTGCCACGTACAGCAACAGGTACCTTCCCCACAGCTGCTGGCCTGGGGGATTTCAGGACGCTGGTATTCCGTTCCATCGCCTTCTCTTAGACTGTGGTGGGCTCTTCACCCCTAGCATTTAGTCAGTGTGACAGCTCAGAACATGCATTCACACTCGTTTTGGTCACCCGTGAGGCAGGCGTGGCCAGTGGCATTCGCTCTCTTAAAGGGACAGGCACTGAGGGATGCCAGAGGGGAACCGGGGTTTTGTTAGCCCGCCCTCCCCAGAATTTTCATTTACCACCCAAATCAGCATACGACATCAGTAAAAGCAGCGTGCTTGCTACACAGACACAACCCCAACACAAGTCTCGTAGCCTCTCCATCTTTCCCTCCTCCCACTCAGCTTGTCCAAGACCTTCTTGTTAGAAATTCCGGCACTGTGTCTGAGAGCACAGGGCAGAGCCCAGGGTATGGAGTAATCGCCCGGCGTGGGAGCCTGACGGGTGCAGCCTGGCCTGAGGGCTGAGTCGGGTGCTGCTGTAGAAGGCCCTGCACCAGGAGCTGCTGACAGGGAGGGAGGCCCTTTGCCTCAGCTCACCCAGCCAGTAAATGGTGGAGACAGAATTGGAACCCGGCTCCAGTGAGATCTGTTAGTTTCACCGTCAGAAGCTTGAAACGTTCAGCAAGAGACCATATCTGATCCAAACGTTTCTTTTAAAATTTTATAAATCTGTTTCTCCTTCCCTACTACATGTTACCCTTGAGATCAGAAATCTTGGATCTACTATAGGCTCACTATTATTCAAAACTCTTGGGATAAAATGTGTTTCAGATTTTAGTAAAGTAATATGGTCCATACACTGAATCAGATAACATTTAGGGTCTGGGGCAGCTCTTACTGAAGTTAACTGTTAGCATCTCGACAGTGAAACTTAAGGAAATTCCACGTTCACATGGGGTGGTATAAGGACAGACTAACCTCATGTCAGTTCAGGCAAGGACTTACCGCCTAATGAGTTGAAAAGAGAACTCTTAGTTTTAAAGCTTCATTTTTGGACCTGGGGCTTTACTGGGTGATTGGAGCAGGGTGCCTCAATCTGCCAGGCTAACAGCTGAAAAAGAGGCCTGCAGCCTGTTGGTTCCATGTCTGTGCAGCATCACCTTGGAACTCCTCTCTCTGGGCTGTCTGGCCTTGCTAACCTCATGCTGCTGGACACCCTCTATTCCTGGGTATTTACCACATTTGGGGGCAACGTTTTGTTTAAATACTATTTTTCATGCAAATACATCTGTGCCACACTGTTTTAATTACTTTATAATATCTTTCAGGGCTGGTCTTTTCCTCGTCCTTCTTTTTTTCTTTTTTTAGAAATTTTATTGGGAAACAGTGTTTTTCCAGGACCCATCAACTCCAAGTCAAGTAGTTGTTTCAATCTAGCTGTGGAGGGCGCACCTCAGTGGCCCATGTGGGAATCGAACCGGCAACCTTGGTGTTAGGAGCCTGCGCTCTAACCACCTGAGCTAACCGGCTGCCCCTCCTCATCCTTCTTAAAGCACCCTGTCTGTCTTCCCAGGTTTGCTCTTCTAGCTAAACCTTAGGGTCATTGTGACCAATTCCAAAAAGTATCTTGTTGAGCTTTTGATTGTGGTTATATTGAATTTATAAATTTAACTTGGGGGCCTGACAATTTTACACAGAACTGAATTTTCCATGTATTGTGGCTTAAATGACACCACATCCTGGATGCCGTTTTAATGCTCCACCTCATGCATATGCGTCTGTGTGGATCAGTACATCGTCCAGTTCTCTTTGTGCACTTGATACCCAAGTGGATCTCACCACTCAGGTACCCGGCACCCACAGCTTGCCTGGCCCTGGATGGGCCTCGAGACTCTCATTGAGTCCTCACAACAATTCTTCAGGTTAGGTCATGGTCCCATTGCACCTGAGAAAACAGGCTTGGAAAGATGAATTCATGAGCACCGAGTTAAACAACTCCTACATGGTAGAGCCGTGATTGAAGGCAGGTCCTTGTGACTCCAAAGCTTGGGCTCCTTTTCATTCTTTATCCCCCAGACGCCTTTGTAATGAAAAATAAATGATGGTACATCCAACTCAGTGAAGACGGCACCCATTCAAAACGGTGAGGTGCAATGGATGGACTTACATGTTGAGCTCCAAGACATCTGATTGTTTTTCATGACTGTCTTTGGAGAAAGGGACTAGAATTGAGTGAGGCAGAGATAACATACATACTTCTTTCTCCATAGATGCAGAATGTTTTGTTGTATTATGGATACATGACTTACTGTTTTTTCCCCAACATTTTATTATGAAAACTTTTGGTAGAATTTGAAAGAATTACACATTGAATACCCATATGCCTACCATCTAAAATCATAATTAACATTTTGTTATATTTGCTTTATCATTCTTTAGTGATCTATCAATCCATCTTATTTTTGATGCATTTCAGAGTAAGTTGCAGACACCTTCACGTCTCATCTCTAACATGTCAGCATGCATATCATTAATTAGAGTCTAGTATTTGTTTAACCTAAGGCAGATCATTTTTTAATCTATCAAGGGGAAGATTTCAGAAAGCCTCTTTGCTTGAAAGAGCAGTTTAGGAGTATGAAATAGACAAAAAGAACGAAAGGAGGTCAGGGTCTGGAGTCATAAGAACCCAGGCTGAGGCCCCAGTCTGCCCCTCAGTAGTGGTCCCTTGAGCAAGTCGCTTCACTCCTCTGAGCCAGCGTTACCACCTAGAAAAAGGGGCTTGGGCTGTGAGGATTGAAGGTGTCAAGTGAGCAGGGTAGGTGTTCAGCGAATTAGGTTCACTCCTCAAATGACCTCATGGCTCTGGGTGGCCCCTAAGAAGTGCCTGAAACTTCGGGAATGGTCTTTTCCCATCAGAGCGCTCTGCTATTTGGTCCTGAAGCAGTACAAGGAAGCGGTGAAGGATTGCACAGAAGCCCTCAAGCTGGATGGAAAGAATGTGAAGGCATTTTACAGACGGGCTCAAGCCTACAAGGCACTCAAGGTAAAAAAAATCCCAACCAAAAGGCACCAACTAAGCTACAGACAGACATTGGTGCCTGTGGTGGCACTTTCAGAGCATAATCAGGGTGAGGTGGCTCTGCCTCACTGGTGTCATCCGGTGGCCTAGGGTAGCTTGGGGCAGGCTTACTTGCTGGGGTTAGAAACCCTCTGCTGTCTCAGCAGCTGTCTCCACCCCCCACCCCCCTTGGTCTTACCTCACAGCACCATCCCCACACCCTTCTCTCTCCTATTAGGACTATAAATCCAGCTTTGCGGACATCAACAGCCTCCTGCAAATTGAGCCCAGGAACGGCCCTGCACAGAAGTTGCAGCAGGAAGTTAACCAGAACTTAAACTAAAAACCCCAAAGGGCCACAGGAAACCTGTCCAACGACCTTCCTCTGCCTGCTCCTGGCACCCAGAATGCCCCAGACGGGGCTCTGAGGCACCCACCTCTGCCCCTCAGAGGTGACGGCCTTCCACCCCTTAAGTGGCTTTGTTTGTTCAGATGAAGCTCAGTGTAGCCAAAAACCAGACACTGTTTTGCTGGAAAGGTTCCCTGCTAGAGCTGAAGCCCTGTTCTCCATTCCCTCTGCCTCGGACAGCTAGCGGATTGCACCAATGAGTCCTTGTCAGCAGAGCGCTCGGCTGGCTGTCCCTGCCCCAGACTGCATGCTGCCCTTCGAGCTTCACCAGACCCGCCTGTCTGTGGTTCACTGAGCAAACTGAGCTGGGAGTGGGGAGAGGGGGGCCACAGGACTAGAAAACCCTGGCCCACCTCCACCCAAAGCCGCCTGTTGAGCTGGCTCTCAGGGCTGCTGTCCCTGCCCTGTCCTTGGCATAGTCCTGTGCGTTCTGAGCTCCAGCCCTTTTGGCCGGGCCGCACTTTGGCGAGGGTGCAGAACCCTGACCCGTGGATGGCTTTGTCTGTGGCTGTGCTGCCTCCTGACTGGAGGTAGGTGCCTAAGCTGTTTCGAGAGCCCAGAGGTGTGTCCGCTCCTCTTGAAGGTGGGGTGGGGAGAAAGGTCTCCTTGAAGTCGGTCCTTCCATTCTGGGCAGGGGCTTGCCTTTTGACCCCAGCAGTGGTCCCCTCTGGACTTCGTAGCTCTTTGTTATATGAAGTTAATTTGAATTGAACTGACTCCAGTTTGGTTGAGCTGTGTTTAAGTGATTGTATTAAACGTCTTTCTTCTATATGAATGTCTGTTGTATTTTATGCTTTGTGTTTGGAATTTTGCAGCGGGAACAACAAAAGCTACCGCTTATTGAGCATTCATCTGTTGACCAAACAAAGTTACTAAAATGTCTGCTTTTGCCAGGTCCTATGTGTAGTGCTGGGGAAACAGTGAATGAACAGATGCGGTCCCTGCTCACAGGGCCGACAGTCCAGTGGGATGGCGATGTTAATCAGCTAATCTAGGAACAAGTGTGAAACTGCCACTGGCTTAAGCATTTAAAGGAGTTATCACACATGCTTTCCCTGCCTACCTGGGGAGATTTGACCCTGTGGAGGGAAAGGGGGCCCTGAGGAAGTGAAGCTTGAACCAGGAGTTTAGCTAGTGAAGAGGGGAGGACAAAGGCCCCAGCTGGGAGGACAGGGTGAGCACAGGGACCAGAAAGTGCCGCTCCAGTTCCCAAAACATGGCGAGTGCTTTAGGATCGGCCACACTAAGGGCTGCCTCCCCGTTCAGTTATTTTCCCCTTGATGGAGTAAAAGTGTGATGACTCCATAAAGTGCAACAGTCGTGGTTTTCACTGTCTCCTCTCCCCATCATGTCCAGTGCTGAGCAGCAGGCAGCTGTTAGCACGCTTCTTCCGACCTCTGGAGGTCGAGTCTGCTGAGCAATCAAGCATCTGAGCTTAAGCGGGTTTTAGAGGCCACAGGCGAGCTCCGTTCGCATGGCCAGGGGACCATTTCAAAGTGGGGAGCTGAACCCTTTCTGTTGGCCCGTTAAGCAGGCATGGCTCCTACCTGATTAGAGGTGGGTCTAGTGGTGACCTCCAGTTACGACTCACTCATTTTCTCCTCTCAAGGTCTAAAAGGCAAGCATCTTTATTTTACAAACAAAAACAGAAAGTGAGTCTGGCACAACCTTGAACGACTTCTCCCTCTTTGTAGGGGAGGCAAGTCATGACCCAGGGAGGTACCGGAAGTGTTTCTACGAGGGTTTTCATTACGTCACATAACCCCAACCAGCCCGCCCAAAGCATTGTTGGTTCTGGGGCGCTGACCTGCACTGTGTGGTGCTCTAGCCAGGTGCCTAGAGGTGGGCAGCTGTGGCTTCCGTTCGTTTGGGGGATAGCAACTCCTTTGGGGCTATCACCGATAGTCCTGCTCGGCTCCTGACAGGTCTGTGCTGTAGTCCCCGCCTTCTACGTACTTCAACACTGGTTTGGGTTTCTGTTCCCTACAGCCGAAGCCGCAGCCCAGTCCCACTTCCCTCATGCAAGAAGGCCTCCTCGGAGACAAGCCAGAGTTTGCAGCACTTTTAATGCACAAAGCAAAAGGTCACGGGCTGGCTGTGCGGCCGGCCTTCATTCCACATACAGAGCTCGGGTCCAAGCACAGCCCGACCGGGAAATAAAAGTTATGGTTCATGGGGCCTTAGAGCCAAGCGCAGGACACGCCGTTCTCTTGTCAGCCAAGGGTGTGAGGATTCCATTTTCTGGGGAATGAAAGGGTCAAAATGAACGTTTTTGAAGTATGGCAGACACCTGGTCTTCCGCTAAGAAGGGAGACTAGACCAAGCCAGGTGTTGAGGCAGGCAGAATGGAGGCAAGCAGTGCCCAAGGGAAGCCCACCCAATTCTGAGTGAGGCCCAGCAGGGCAGCTGGCAAGACAACACCTTCGCTTCGTACAACAGCCTACACCCATCCCAGTCACACAGCTTGTCTTTCCTTGGAGCCTCACAGCTTCCCACCATCTCCTCCTTGGGGCCTCAGAGAAAGCCAGTGACACACCGTGGCTCTCGGGGATTGGATGCCAGCCTCTGCCCAGTTCTTTACAGCTGCTGGGCTCAGCTACCTGTCACCATTCCACCCACCTGGTTTCAGGCACGTTCACTGTCGTCTGCTCCATGGCCTGGTGAGCCTGCAACACCACCAAGGCCTCTTCTACCTGTGGGTCACAGTAGGAGGGGCTTAGTGCAGCTGCCCCAGCAGGGTCCCAGGAGGGCCTTGACCTCCTGCCTCAGCACACTGGATCCAAGAATTCTCCCACCACAGTGTTCCCACAGAGCCCTCAGCTGACTGCTGCTTGGAAGCTCGCCTGACAGAAACCCACAGTCACCTCAAGTCAGATGTAATGTGCTGGACAGCTGGGAAAACCCTACCCTTATACTGAATCAGAACACAGCTCCTTGTGCCGAAACCTCGCCTATGGAGCTGCAGAGCATCACACTGTCCTTCCCCGAGATTCCGCAGGTTATGCGCTGGGATTAGCAAGGAGATAAACTTTGTCCAAGCAGCAGCCTGCTAGCTCACGTAGGAGGCACCTTTGTCCTTAGCCCTCCTCCAGCCACTCAGGCTCCAGCCCACCTTGGCATTGAGGGACTCGGGAGACTCCAACATAAGCAGCAGCTCCGAGTTGTCGATCTCCAGCAGCATGCCCGTGATCTTGCCAGCCAGCTGGGTGTGGACGTCGTAGATGAGGGGGTAGAGACGCTCACCTGTAATGGAACAGCCTCTGATGGCTTATGTGCACACCTGGCTGATGCCCCGGCATCCCAGGGGCGGTGCTGCGGAACGGAGCAGCGAGGCATCTGGGTGGCTGTCCCAGAACTGCTCCTCCCAGGCTGTTACTAATCTTACCAGGAGCCACTTTCCCGGCTGGGAAGTGGGCATAGTAAACCCTGCTTTGGAGGCCAGCCTGCAGCATCAAATGTGATAGTACCCGTGAAGTAGTATGCACAGGGTCTGACAAAGGTGGGTGCTGTGTAAAAGACGACTCTTGTTCATTTGGCAAGAAACAATTCCAAGGATACGCACTGAAATTCTAGACAAGCTATGATAATGCTGCACTTGACTTTTTTGGGAGTTTGGGGAGTCAAATACACAAGATAAATACACCTTCCACCTCTAGGTACTGCTAGTGACAAGCTTAGTGTTGGTGGCCTGCCCATCTCAGCAATGCGTGGAGGGTCTAGCGAGGATGGGGTGCTGGGGTGCCTTAAGGGGGAGTGGGAAAATAAATGTTGCCCACTGGACTCTGAACCATTATTCCACCATGATGGAAGTGAAGGTGTTTACAGGGAACTGTTAACAGAACCTCCTGCTTCCATTAAGCCCACTGAGAATTTTTCTTTGAGGGGTAGGTAATAAAGTGGCAAAACCCCAAGCGAGCTGAGGAAACAATGGGGTGGTAGCAATGGGGGCCGACAGAGAAGGGTCAGGAGACCTTGGTGGCCATGAAGAACCTGCCAGCCACTAGCAAGCTTGTTCATTCATTCAACAGTTGGTGGCGCCCTTGAGCAAGGCCTGTCAGACACGGGATGGAGATGAACTGGAATTCAGAGTCCAGTGGGCAACATTTATTTTCCCAGTGCACAGTTCCCACCTCCAATGGGCTCTCCTGGGAAGCTGATGAAATGTGGTGACAGCTGCTTCCCATTCCGGGGAGGTGTGAGAACTGCAACACTCACCTTACGGGCCATGTCCCAGCAGAAACCCAAGACCCTACCCTTCATACTCTTACTCCTCTGGCCCCTGATCTCCCTACATTTGGGGTCTCTCCCAGCCTAAGTCAAAGTCATAGAACAGCAGAGCTGAAGAAACCTTGGGAACATCTGGTCTGATCAGTATTTAGAGCTAGAGCAGGGCCTAGAATACAGAGACAACTCGGGCAAGGGCCCAGCTGTTTGGTCAGTAGCAAAGCTGGACCTTGTCCTTACGTCTGACCTCCGCTCGGTGTTTCCCACCAGGCTAGCCAGCTCTCAGCTCCACTCCTCCTGCTCCAGAGTAGGGGAACCAGCTACTCACCAATCATCTGCTTTTGTTCATGCAATGGTGCTGCAGCCAGCATGGACGCGCTCAGGGGCTCCTGTCCCGGGACACACACAGCAGACTCCTGGACCTGCACATGATGCCAGGGACACATCCCTTAACCGGCACGGATGATCAAGGCCTTGAAACACTTAACCCTGTAAGGTGAGCACAGGCCTCCAGGAAGGCTCTGGAAGAGGGGAGCAGGGGGCAAGGTATGGACGATCGGGCGGGACAGCGTCCCTAACAAGGGCACGGTGTGCTAGATGACAAAGTTACACTCTAACAGAGACCTTGCCCATAGTGCTAGGAATCTAAAGGCCCCCAATGCGTGCTACCAAACAAAGCCACACCTTCCTAATCATTTTGTGCCAAATAAAGCACTTCTGCTCCAAGTAGCTTTTATGGCCACATCCGCAGCATAATTTCCCATCTTGGTAACTTTAAAAGCATTTCGCTGTTTAAAGACTACTCTTGTTCATTTTGCAAGAAATAGTTGGAAGTATACGCATTGAAATTCTACACACAAGAAAACGCTAAGATGGAGACTTTTTTTGTGGTGGGGGCCGGTAGATGACACAGCCTTTAAATTTAATCACAGTAGATATTTTCAGCTCTGTTTTGCAGATTAATCGCATCCTTACTTCTCAACACATCTATAGGAGATCCAGATTGTGTTAATAACCCAAGCAAAGCAAATGATGATGAATAAACAAAACACAACCCTTTCCCCCTTTCTGTTAGTAAGGGGGAAAAAAATGTGTTGATTGCACACGTTAATAAATGAAACTTTACAAGCCAAGAAAAGAGAAAACCAAGACCCAGAGAGCGCCAATGCCTTAGCCAAGGTTCTAGCCAGGCCCCTGGAGCCCAGACTAAGAGGGCAGCTGGTCCAGCCTTACCCCATGGGTACTGGGCATTGCCGAGGGATATCTGTGTGTCAGGAGAGGCTCGCCTGGCATAGAGCATCCCGCCCCACCAGGTCTGGTGGTCTGGGTACCAATGTTGGCTGTAAGAAATAAGCAGGCACGTCAGGGCGTAGCAGCAACCTAAAGCCATAAAGCTTCAAGACAAGCGGTTACGTAGAATCCCTAGCACCGAGGACGCTGTCAGCATAGACGCGCAAACATTCTCTGAATGAAGAAACAGACATGCTTGCCTACCGTCAAAACCTACCCTCTTAGGGCTGGCCGAGTGGCTCAGTTGGTTAAGAGCTCGCTCAAGAGTGCGAGCTCTGAGCAACAGCGGTTCGATTCCCGGCCTGAGCTGAGTAGCTGCTGAGCTGCCAACAGATGGCAAGATGGCTCAGCTTAAAAAAAACAAAAACAAAAAAACCTATGCTCTTGTTCACAGCTGCTGCTTTGAACCTACTCAGTTCAGACCTGGTGCTAAGCCACTGCATGTATGATATCATTCCCCCACACGACAAAATGCTGTGTTCATTCCTATTTTAAAGATGAGGCGATCCGATACAGGACTTAGCAAGGCCATGAAATGAGTTAGCCCAGGAGCTGGGTCTGTGGGACTCTAGAGCCCACACTAACTACTGTGCTACATGGCCCCTAAAACCAGCTGTGCTCTCCAAGGGCGTGAGGGGCAAGCTCATCACTGTGGAGGCCAGCTCGGACTCCCCGCCAGCCCAGCCCAGCCAGCCCTGCCCCCAACCTCCTCACATGCCCATTCCTCTGGGCCCTGCCCAAACTCACCCACTCTTCGAGTGTGAGGCACCTGGTGCGACACCTGGGTGGAGGCCCGCCTGACACTGCTGATGTGGGGTGGGGGGTGCTGAGACATAGCTGGTGGCCAGGCCATGGAGGCAGCTGGAGGGTAGGCAGCTTGTGGCACAGAGAACATGGAGAGAGAAAAGTTGGTGGGAAGGGGACAAGGGAGTACAATAATCAGAGTGGCACACCACACCCTGAAGGTTCCGGGGTGAGGGAGGGGATGGGAAGGGAACCAGAACGTGCATAGCAGAGAGATGAGTGAATTCACCTTGTCAGGCATATCCAGAACTCCCAGGGGGTGAGGGGGGGGTAATCTGCTATTACAAACCAAATCACATCTCCCCAGAGCCCCAAGGGGCACAGGCATCATAATTGCACACCTTTGTACCCCCAGTTTCAAGTCAGGTGAGCTTCACTCTTAGAGAAGGGCCATTCATCAGCAATACAGCCAAAGGAGTCTCATTTTCTCAGCTTTGCAAGAATTTTCAGTCACACATTAGACAAACTTTTGGAGCTAGCTACAGATAATGGTTACATTGCGAGTCTTTTACAGGCTCAGCACTGTGCTTGGTGCTTTACACAGGTCTCATTCAGGCCCACATTCAGAAGAGGAAACTGAGGCTCAGAGAGGTGAAGTTACCTGCCCCAATTAACACCTTGGGAAGTGACAGAGCCAGGTTTCACCCCAAAGTGCGTGTTCTTTAACCATGTGTTACACGCTGCCCCATGGGGTCCACACTCATAGGCCAGACTGACGGTGGAAGGGGCTGGGTCACTCACATGAGGAGCTAGGTGGTTGGGCCGTCCACCTGACGGCAGGCTGGACAGGTGGGCCAGAGCCATAGTACGCAGCCTGGGCTGGAGGCTGTGAGGGAGAAGGCCCAGAGTGAAGGGGTTATAGCAGGGGAAGAAAGAAATCGTATCTCTTCAAGGACACCCCTGTAGGAACACCACTGTCCCCTCTAGGGGACTGGTTAGCAAAGACCCACAAAGCTGGGATGAAGGCCTATCTTCCATCACAGGATGTCCACTAGCCCTGAACCCTTCAGGGCAAGACCTCAGGTTCAATCCTCGCCCCTTGTTATCAGAGCTACTAAGCCAATGACCTGGGTAAAATAATGACACATCCTACTGTAACTCGTGCCAGCTTAAGCCAACTTCTGGAAGGAGCAGGAATGTTCCCATCCTAGTAGCCTTTAAAAGCTGATATTTTTCTTCTTGCTCTGGGTCATACAAGCTCCCTTTTCAAAACATGCCACTCAGCACATTAACACCCAGGACAGATGTAAGCAAACACCCCCCAATATCTACCATTTCAGTTGGGGGAACGCTATGTACTCTCTGTCAGTTTGGGAAAGTCAGAATGCATATTGGCATATTAGGGTACAGCAACAGATACGGTAAAGAAATCTAGGCTTCTTTGGTTTAATGTAGTATTACCCAAGCTTATTTGACCACAGAGAATCTTTTTCAGCATAACACTCACAAATCTCTCAGGTTGAGAAGCGCTGTGGGACAGCGACACTATTACCCCATTCAGAGATGGGGTTAAAAACACCTGTCATTCCGGCAGAAGCAGGTAAGAAACCTATATCTGCCTGGGACCCTCTATTTTCCTGCTCTACCTGGCTTTCACGGAACGAGTGTGGTGGTGGTGGTGGTTGCTGGCAAGCCCTCACCTGGGGCATGGCAGGCAAGAAGTAGCTGGCGGGCTCCTTCCAGCAGCCCAGGAAGGGGCCGCGCAGGGCCCTCACGGTGGACAGGCGCTGCATGTACTGGTTGGTCAAGATGGCCTTCCGCTCTTCTTTGCGCTGGGCCAGCGCCACGTACAGTGGCTTGGTGCCAACGATGCGCCCGTTCATCTCTGTCACGGCCTTTGTCGCCTCTTCTGGAGAGGAAAAACACACAAAGCCAAACCCTTTGCTGTGGTTACCCTCTGTCATCACCTAAAAGCAAGACAAGACAAGGGCTGCTGCGGGTGGGAAAGGAAGACGCCTGGGGCTGTACTCCCTTCCTCCCCGGGGCCCAGCCTGGCTCTGGGCAGGCCCAGGACAGACCTGGGGAGGTTTCACTCGAGGGGGTCCTGTCACCCCCACATTTACTGAGGCCTACTGCATGCCAGATACTTGACACTCCTCACTTCACTCTGACTCCCACTTTACAGGTAAAGAAAGTGGGGTTCAAGAGTGACTTGTCTGAGACCAGGCCACTTGTGAATTGAGGGCTGCTGATGGCTAGTAGGCCATTCCCGAGTTAGGGAGAACAGATGCATTTCAGAATATATTTTTATCTCTAAATTTTCTTTTTGAAAAGAGTTTCTTACGCGGTGATGGAAGGCTGGCTTAATTAAATGTATGCACCTTCATCAGAGGGGCTATTCATGAAGTGAGATGGTAGTCTAGGATTATTCTAAGAACAGGAAGGGTCTTCGGCCAGAACCACAATCATCAACATTTCAGTTGAGGTCACTACGATAAAAAACAATCTGCATTCCTCTACTCCTTGGGTTTTATTAAACTACTCATACAATTCTCTGGTTCATTGTGAATTATGGGCATAAAAGAATGCTCTTAACTAAATTTCCTAGAGACTCCAATAAAGAGTTAGATTTACATGGACTATGAAAGTAATTTGATTTTCTATTTTTAGTACTTTATTCTGTTAACTTTCTTTTTAGTAGAAATAAGAGTCTTTCTTATTAAAAAAAAAAAAATAGTGTGACTTGTCCAGGGTCACCTAGTCAGGGGGTCATCTATCAGCCAGGACTCCAACCCAATGCACCATTCTGGTAAACCCCCATTGCCTCTACAAAGCTCTTTAGGAATCTGGGAAAGAGGTTCTTAGCCTTTTTATTAAAATAACCTTTTTATTGAATGATAGCTTTAGACACATGGAAAAGTTACAAAGTAGTACAGGGTTGCTATATATCTTTCACCCAGCTTGCCCCAATGTTAAATTAACATGGGACACTTGTCAAAATGACAATAGGAACATTGGGACAATACTATTAACTATCAGATCCTATTAATGACAATGCTATTAGCTAAACTGTACATTTTATTTGGATTTCACTAGTTTTGCTACTAATATTCTTTTTCCAGGATCCAATCCACATTACGTTTAGGGTTCTTATCCTTTTTTTCGGGTCAAGACACTGGCTTGGCTCAGCCCCTCCACGAGCACTAGGGCTGAGATAACCTTTAAATCTGCTCTATCAGAGCCCATGCTCTACATCAGAGATGTTACAACTGCACTTGGCTACCCACGAGTATAGGGGCCCTGGCCTGAGAGTTCATAGATATGCAGGGATGTCCATTAATAGACTTCAGGGGGTCTGTGAACTTGGATGGGGAAAAAAGGCATCTGTATTTTCACACTGACATTTCCCTCTGTTTTGAATATGGGCAACAATAAATATCATAACAATAAATTTCATAGTAGGATTAGCCATGTTTGTGGCTTTGTCAAGAAGAGACATAAAATATTTTCATATCACCTTAATTACTGACCTCAAAATATCATTTATGCTAATTGCTATTTCACTAGCTCTTATAGTTTAATGCACATACTGCTGTCACCTTAGTATTTTAATAATTATTTCATTATAGTTTCTTGTACTCCTATAGATGCTCCTTTCTGCATTTAAAAATAGTCTCAGAAGGGGGCCGTAGGCTTCGTCAGGTAGCCAAATGGTCTTGGCACAAAAATATTGTCTTAAAAATAAAAATAATAAAATTAGTACAAGTGACACTTACACAGAGCTTACTATGAACTTGATAGTGTTGTAAGCACTTTATGTACCTTAACTCATTTAATTTTCATAATCACTATTTTATATGAGATAATATATTAAATTATATAAATATATAGAAACTTATATAAAATCAATTAACAAGATAGGGGTGCCTCAACTCTAAGCCATTCGGATTTTTACAATTCCCTTCATTCAAGGAGTCCTCAAGGATGTCAGTGAATCTCCTGAAATTACATGCAATGTGTGTGAATAATTAGATCATGATTTCACTGCTTATCATGGGCAGTGATAAGCTCTTCAATTCTCAGGCTCTTTAATTCTCAGGACACCTTTAGAGGTAGGGAAGGTTGTTCCCATTTTACAGATGGGCAAACAGGGTCCACAAGGCAAAGCCACTTCCCTCGGGTTCTACAGCTAGTTAGAGGTGAGACTAGGATTTAGATCTAGTTCTCATTAACTCTGAAATCCCATCTTTCAACCACACTACTACACCACGTATGCATTTGCGGTGAAAGAGGGCCCATAGGGCCGGTCGAGTGGCTCAGTTGGTTAAGAGCTTGCTAAAGAGTGCGAGCTCTGAGCAACAGGGTCGCTGGTACAATTCCCGGCCTGAGCTGAGCTGCCAACAAGTGGCAGGATGGCTCAGCTAAAAAAAAAAAAAAAGAGGGCCCATGGTCTTTTTATGATATTTAGTCAAATTTACTGGTCCTCGATTTACATGTCCCACAGGCTTTCTGTCACATTTTTTAAAAGCTCAGCTCAAAAGTAGTTAGATCCTCTTCCGCAAATACCAGGTTCCCTGAAGGACATTTAAAGTTGGCAAAAGAACTTCTAGGCTACTTCCTATGAACACAACCCCCACATCGCATACGCAGGTCCCCAACCCCAATCTCTTTGGAAAGTTCCTCAGTCCCACCTGCTGCTCCCTGTCTCCTCACAGCCAAGTCAAATGCTGCTCACTGCCACTTCTTACAGGAAGCCCTCCTTCCTGTTCCACCCAGCTTACTCCCCGCCCCACACATGCCTTAAAATAGATTTGAATTACAGATGCTTCTGACTTCCCCACTAGACCATAAGCTACTCAGGGGCAAGGACCACATCTGATTTGTTCCTGTATGCTGTCCACAGGGCCTGGTGAAAGAGCAGATGCTTAAGTATGGAATGAATGAACACTGGTCATCTTAAAATCATCTGGGGAGCTTTTAAAAATAAAATGTCTAGGCCCCACCCTCAGAGATCTACATTCAGTTTGTCTGACTTGGGTGCATTTAAGAGCTCCCTAGGGGATTTTATTGAGAAGTCAGGGTTGAGAACCATCCAGGGAGCCCAACACCCTCATCTTACATATGAGGCTCAAGCAAAACATCTGCTCAAGGTCACAGAGCTACTAAGTAGAACAGTCAATCATCACGTCTCAGGTGCTAGGAGGGCTGTGCACAAGGTAGGTGCTCAATAAATGGGGGAAAATGAAGGAAGAAGGATGCAGCCCAACCCTCTCATTTTTCAGATGGAGAAACTGAGGCCTAGAAAGGGTTACATCATCTGCCAAGGTCAGACAACAAAAGGCAATGGAAATTCTGAGACATAAATTTCTGGAATCTGGCATACAGTAGGCACTCAATAAATGCTTGTTGAATGAACCAAGGTTACAGTGAGCCCCAATAAATCCAGCTGTGTGGCTGGGATTGCATTTCTACCCTCTTCTCCTCCATCCCAGACAAAGCTGCAGATGGACAACAAGCTCCAATGGGGTCAGACATAGTGCCCAAAACTCCAAATGGAGTAGCTCAGGACCAACTCCCTGGAAGCCACAGGGAAGGGAGGGGTGTGTGGGCAGTGAGAGGATGGGAGCAGAAGGCTATCCTCTGTAGGTACCCCGGTTCTCACCTTGGCACTGGTGATCACTCCATAGGGAGAGAACTCCTTCCTTAGTTTCTCTTCATCAACGGAGTCATCCAGGTTCTTCACATACAGGTTCACACCCTGGAAGGAAAGGATACTGCTAAATGTGCCTTCCCTTCCAAGCTCCAGGTTGCCTTGGGGGCTGGGGAGGGGCCGATGTGGGCAGTGGAAGCGCTGCCCACCAAGCCTCCGGTGCCCAGTCTCCCACGGCACCCATGCACCCCACCAATCACTCAGCATGCCCATCACCTGGAAGCCAGAGCCCCCACAATCCCTAAAGGCAAGTTGCCAGAAGGGGGGTTCCTGGAGGGAGGAGTCACATCCAGCCCTCCACACACAGAAGCGGCTGTCACCAGGAGGCTGCTCCTCACCTGGTAACGGTTCAGTCGGTCCTGCTTCATCTTCATCTGCTCAAACCTGCGCCTCAGCTCATTCTGCCGCTCTACCCGCTTCTGGGCTCGGCCCACATAGAGCAGCCGCCCGCCCACCTCCTTCCCGTTCATGTCCATCACAGCCTGTGCAAAGGAGAGGGAGTAAGAGTGCTCGGTAACCGCCGCACGAGGCCCAGGCCTTAGCCTTGACCTCCAGTCCTCTCTCCTAGGCCTAGAGGAGGCTTCCTGCCAGTCAGGTCGAACTTGTTAGCTGAGAATAATTAGTATCATGATAAAGGCCATTTAAAGTCAACCCACTTTTTTTTTAAAAAAAAATGGGACAATGGGGCGGCCGGTTAGCTCAGGTGGTTAGAGCGCAGTGCTCATAACACAAAGGTTGCCGGTTCGATCCCCACATGGGCCCCTGAGATGAGCCCTCCACAACTAGGCTGAAGCAACTATTTGACTTGGAGCTGATGGGTCCTGGAAAAACACACTGTTCCCCAATAAAACAAAACACAAAAAACATGGGACAAAATTTCAGAGTAGACAATTTAAAAATTGGATTTTGTCTCTACCTTAAAAAGGGAAATGGAAATTGGCAGTTTCCCATATTTAACAATTAGGTTCTCACTAACCACACACTGATCATTTGAACAAAGCAGCAAGCATAATTCTTTCAAAACGGCGTGACAGCATAACCCATATCCTTCCCTTCATGTTGGCTTTCGCAGCACAAAGAACCCTATTGTTAACTATTGAGGGCTTTAGTTTTAGAAACATTTGCATCTTAACCCTTGGTTTTTCTTTTCTTCAGCTAACTGGCCTAAGCCTGTCAGACTGTAAATTGTCAGTGGCTTTGATGAGTGGCGCAGTTGGTTAAGAGCTTGCTCAAGAGTG